GGGTGACGTCACACTCCTTCAGTCCGCTTCTTTATACAGTCTATAATATATCTATAGTTGCCATAACCCTAACCCTAACCTTACACAACAATAACTGATTTGCTTTTGGACATTTGGTTTGTATTTTAGACACATGTTTAACTACCAGCTCTCCTTCATACATATTGAAGTCAGTGCATTGCTACATTCCTCTTAATGTCTCCATCTTGGGCCGCGCACTGCTTTGAATTTGACCAAAGCGAGAAGCGCAAAATGAATCCACGTGTTTAATGTGAAAAATGTGTGCGTGAATACGAGCGTGCATAAATATGTACAATTTCATTCTAACATAAGTGTGCGTGTTTGTACGAGGAGAGGGGAGAGAGGAGTGGGGCGGCGCTCGGGCTGTGGGGGGCGCTGTGGGGTCATTAATCATCCAATTACACACCTGTCAGAGTTCAGACAAGTGGGCGAGCGGGGGGAGGCGGGGAGAGAATGGAATGTAAAAAAAAAAAAAAGTAAAAACACAAGAAGGATTTGAATGACAGAAGAGCAATGATAATGGGGCCAAAAGACAAAACCAAAGGATAGTTTTATTGAGTTTCGGAGACAGAGGCAAGCTGCTGGGGTCCCGCGGAAAAGGCCGGGGTAGATACATGCTCGCTTTTATTGCGCGGGACAGTTGAGTGATGAGGACAAAGCTGAGAGGGACAGGGGAGACAGATACATAGGGTGGAGAAGACAGTATAATCACAGGGATAATGGCAGCGGTGTTGCTCCATGAGAAAATATGACCACCAAATTATAGCTCATACAGTGTAACACAATACAGGGAAGAATAAGACTAATGTGGACATACACTGGGAATAGGGGTGCGCAAAAATATCAAAATATCCATATATCGTATCGTTTAATGTGATGATACAGTATCGAGATCGTAGGCTGCTGTATGGATATGTCACCAAGAGTATTTTTTGGTATAGTTTACCAAATTATTTTGTGACAGCGCTACAGTTTTGTTGCTCGTTCAGAGGAAAGAAACTTGTTTATGTGACGCATTTGACATTTTCACTGTTTTGATGATTAAAATGTTTGTGTTTCTTACTTTGCACAAGAAGTGGTTTAACAAAGATTTTTAGTATCACAGCCATGAGTTAGAAATATTTTTACGGACTGAACCAGGACTAAAACAGAACTAAAACAGAACTAAAACAGGTCTAAACCAGGTCTAAACCAGGACTAAACCAGGACTAAACCAGGATTAAACCAAAACTAAACCAGGTCTAAACCAGGTCTAAAGTAGGTCTAAACCAAGTCTTAACCAGGACTAAACCAGATCTAAACCAGGTCTAAACCAGGACTAAACCAAGTCTAAACCAGGTCTAGACCAGGACTAAACCAGAACTAAACCAGGTCTAAACCAGGACTGAACAGGACTGAAAATAGTTTTTTGTTTTCTTATTTTTGGTTTTATTTTGAAAAAAATAAATGAATGAATGATACACGGATTCTGGTGTATTTATTTTGCTATTTTCTCTATAAATTAAAATATTTTGTCTATAAAATAAATTTTGAAATATTTTTAATTGAACCCTATAGAACTGATTTGAAATATATCGTATTGAATCGAAAGCGCAGTGTATTGTGATATGTATCATATCGTGGCCTATGTATCGAGATAGGAATTGTATCGGCAACTTCTTAACAATATCCAGCCCTAACTGTGACTGCAATTTGACCAGGTTACTAACTTAATTAATTTGCAGTCATCTTCCAAACATGCTAATTTTGTTATTACACAGTTTTTGAATTTGGAAAAAACAAAAAGCTGAACATCTTTGCAGAAACACAGAAAAAGAAAATAATTTGGGAAAAACACATAATAATCCAATTCGAATTCTGACTACTTACTTGAAAATTTAAACTGCAGTAAAATTCCTTTAAATTCCTTTTACCCTATATGGCTATTATAAAGTTTATTTACACAGAAAATGTTAATATATTTGAGCTATGTTCATGTATTTCTTGAATATTGTTGGTGTTGCTACGATACAGTTATTTTGGACAACTTTTATGAATAAAACTGTGTAAATAATCTGCAATTTTAATGTGAGTACTTTAAGTTTAAGTAGTTCAGTTTTGTCTACAATTTGCCCGGAAATTGGACAAATTAGAAAGCTGCAAATCACAAATCTAAACTAAATCCACAAATCTCCAAACTAAATCTTTCCAGGAGGTTCATAATGATAAAAATTAGACTTTACCATAGCAAGAAATAATAATAAAAAAAAAAAAAACAAAAAAAAACAAAAAAACAGCCTATATCTTTTGAAATTTGGCATACAACATGAAAATCTACCATGTTGAAAACTCTGAGGCACCATACTAAATTATCAATGGCAAATCAGAGTTAAAATGTCCCAATAACAACATAAATCCAACTACAAAAGACTTCCCAACCACAATTTACTGTAACGATGAAAAAATATATACATACAAGACCGATATATTTTAATGTTTGCATATGGAGCGAGCCCTTTCTGCAGTAATCCCGATCTGTGCGTCTCCGTGTTTGGCTGTGGTACCTCCAACGCCTCGGGCCGTCGCCATCTGTGCCCCCTCCCTCCTCCTCCTCCTCCTCCTCGCTCCCCTCACCCCCACCCGGCGAACTCCCATTCACTCCGCATGCACAGTAACACACTAGACTGCAAACTGGCCCCCACCTTCGGCGCAACTGCCATATATCTAATTTATGGCTATGGTGAGTGCGTTACACACTCTCATGTATGCATAATATATCACATGTGTGAGGGAGCGCTGAGGAGAAGCGAGGAGTCCGGGCCGTCGTGGGTCTCAAGCGGCGGCGTGGGGGCAGTTTGTGGTACGGTGGTTTGAGAATAGCTTAGGTAATATGTTAGTTTAAGGTACAGACTGTTTATTCTTGTTTAATTATAGGGATATTGTCGTTACGTCTGACTTTAGGTGTAATTTAAGTCTGATCCTGGCTTCAATCAGCTGTTTCTGTAAAATACACTTTGATTAACCTACATTTGTCTTAGGTTTTGAGCTGGTTTAATCTCAGTTAAAGTAAATTTCCTGGTGTAGGGTCTACCACCTGCTTGTCTCCATTGATTATCTTGAATCTATTCAGTGACTGGTGATTTTATTGATCAAAAATACCTTCTTATTGTGAACTGGCTCGCCTCTCCACAGGTCTGACGAGTAACTTGGCCTGGAAACATCAAATGCATGTACCAATTGACACAAAATAATACATTTAATACATTACTATGAAACATTTGAGGAAAAGCACTGCAATCTTCGAGGAGACGAGGGGGTAGTAGACAGTGCACTTTTAAGGTTAAGGTAATTTATTGTCTCCGTAGGGAAATTTGTCCTCTGCATTTGACCCATCCTTCAATGTCACCGGGATAGGGAACCAATCTTGAGACAGGATTGGTCAGGACCACTGTAGCTGCAGGATTTTCCCTATTTTATTATTTATTTTTTGTTTGTTTATCATTGGTCTAGTCCTAGTTTTGGTTCCCAAAACTTACAGCCTGATTTTACGTTTTAATCTTGATTAAAAATGGTCCGGCCTTCTCTAAACTTGAACTAGACTTGTTTTGTTTTTTTTCCTGGTTTTGATATGTTTAATAGGTCTGCCACCTGCTTGTTTCCATGGATACGTCATTGATCAGCTTGGAATGTTCCACGCTATGACATTAAATGGTTCTTTCCTTACATTTATTCAATTACAGATAGTTTTATAGCTCAAAAATACCTACAAAAACAAAAATCTGACTGTGAGCGGGGTTGCCTTTTCATAGATCTGACCTGTTTCTTGATCTGGTTTGGTCTCTGTGAACATAGGAAATAAAAGAGTTTAATACCATACTGTGAAACATTCGAGACAAAGCAATAACATTTCCACGAAGACGGACGCAACAGTAAAGTTCTCTATGTACTTTCTCGGTTTAGATTTAGGATAGTCTACATCTCTTTCTCTTTTAAACCACTATACCCTTGTATACTATACCCCACACTGTAAATCCTTTCTCTCTCTCCTTCCATCCCTCCTTGAACAAAAGCAGGAGACTTGGTTTGTTTGTGTTTGTGTGTGAAGAAGGCCCAGCTGTTGTCCACCACATGCAGGATGCCAGATGTCTCATTAGGCAAATGTGATTGGCCCGGTCATTTCAGATGCAGCAAAGAGACGCTCCCATATGTGAATACATGCAGACATTTACATAAGAGGCCCATGTCTAAGCATTCACACGTGTACTGTGCGCTCACTTTCATGTACAACAGGCTCCTACGTGTTGGTGACAAAAATGCAGTGTAGAAGATAAATAAATATGACATTGGGAGGCTTTTTTGTTTCTCTTAAATCACTACTTTTGTTTAAATCTTCTTCTAAAGTTCTTGAGATGATGTTCAAAACTTTAAAGGTGCATTGTGTAACTTTTCTGGTGGAGGATCCGTCAGATGCTTTTCTCCGTGGAAAAAATATTGCTTGTTATTAAACTTTTCTATCTTCACGGAGACTAAAACAGACCATTTACAGGTTACAGGTCACATCTATGGAGAGGCAACCCTGCTCACAATCAGAATATCTAATTTTCTAGGTATTTTTGAGCTATAAAACTACCTGTAATTTAAAAAAAAAAAGTAAGTTCTAGCTGTTTAATGTCATACTGTGGAACATTCCAGGCAGAGCAATGACATCTCCATAGAAACAAGCACCCCCAATGAACCCCCAACCAAAAAGTTACAAAGTGCACCTTTAATAAGAGTAAGAAAAATGTCTATTTCCAATTTCATAAACATAACTGTGTCCCCAAGTACTACAATCATTAAAAAAAAAACAAAAAACTTCAGTAGCGTTTGCACATCGTTTGACAGTATTGTAGTACAAGTTAATACTCAAATGAGGCGTAGCACTGCCCTCTAGTGGTGTATTTCTGAAAACGCTTTGCACCTCAAGCAATTAAGTTACAAAGCAGGACATGTAAAGGACATTTAATTGCAATTTATCATGTTTTAATATTAAATACAGCTTTCATACTTTTTACATTTGTGAAAAGAATGAAAATATTTTAGAAGACAACCAAATCTTAATAAATTACCAAAAAGAATAAAGAAAGTACAATGTCAGCCTCTTATCTCTGTATGTTAGCGGGATCATCACTTTTTGTATGTACTTGTGATATATTTGATTGAGAGTCCTGGTCTGGAGTCACGAAGTTGCCCTTTTCCTGTCCATCACTTACCCCATTTACTGTCTCCTTTTTCATTTTTGTCAATGTCTCTTCTCTTTCCTTCACCTCCATCCCTCCATCACAGTCAGTTGAAGTTGATTGAGTTTGAGTCGTGTTCATATGTTTATCCTCACTTTTGTTGTCCTCTCTTTCGTCTCCCCTCGGCTCTGTCCCACCATCGCAGTCAGTTGAAGTATCCTTGTCCTCCTGTCTCTTGCGATGGGACTGCCTGCGTATGGTCTGCCTGTGCTTGCTCCTCCTCGCTTGGTCGCAGTGGAGGGTGCGTCTTCTGTGCCAGTGGTTCAGAGACTGTTGGGCCTCCACGCTGAGCTGGCGAGCGGCGAGCAGGGGCTTGTAGCTGGTGATGTAGTACAGGGAGGCGTACAGGGTGGTCAGGTAGTAGCCGCCTGGGGACATAGGGATAGGGAAGTGTTAAACTTAAAATGAAAAAGACTGATGTCAAATAAGGCATAATTATATAACTGTATATGTACAAGTAAAATAAAATAGAAATAAGTAATACAAATATCTCAGCTATATACAAATTAAAATTAAAAGCCACCTTCTTTTCTCCATGGAGATATTACTACTTTAGGTTTGATTATTTCACAGTATGGAAATATACTTTGTAATCACAGTGGAGACAGGTTAATGGTCAGATCTATGGAGAAGCAAGCCTGCACATGGTAAGAGTTCATGCTTATTAAAGGTATTTCTTGAGCAATAAAACACTTATAATTGAACAAATGCAAGGGCAATATGCTTAATGCCCTACTGTGGGACATTCCATGAAAATAAATAGAGGCAAAAAAGTAGTGGACCTTAGAGGTTACACATTGCAGCTTTAAAATTAAAATAAAAAATTAAGTTTTGATTTCTAAGTTTAATTTGAGTAGAAACTTGAAGTAAGAGAACTAATCTATTAAAGTTTCCCCAATGTAAGTATTCTGATTGTTCAATGAGGTTAATTTGGTCTTCCGATAATATATTCGTTTTTAGTTTTTTTTTTTCAGATCAAGGGTTTGTTTTCAGACTATACTAAAACCAGGACGAGGGGGCCTTTTTACTCTCACACACCTGGGATACTGTCCTGAGGAAGTTTGGACTGCAGATGGCGCAGTCATCCTGCCTCCACCAGTAGGAGAACAGCGCCAAAACCTGACACATTACAGCAACATCACGTGACCACTGTGAGGAAGACCGCTAGTGAGCAGTCCAAACTGTCAGGTATAAAAACAAACTCTTGATCTGAAAAAAAACCTAACAACATAAGTATTCTGGTTGGCATGTATACACCATGTTGCTTTGACTAGAATGTTCCGGAGTATTGTATTAAACATATCCATCTTGCAGTTACTCAATAGCAAGAATTTTTATTACAAAAAGAATACTCATCTTAATGGGGATACCTGTTTGTTTTATAGGTTCTACGTGTGTTTTATACTGTAGGAAAACATCTCCTGACCTGGGGCCTGAAGAAAAGTTCCATAGTGCACCTTTTAGTAGAATATGTTTGAACATGAAGCAATAGTCAAATGCATTCACACATTAGCTTCAAATTTAAATGTGTGTTTTGCTGAAATAATTTGATCAAAGCAAATATTTACAGTAAAGTGTGTCAATGGTAATTATATCACTATTCCATCTGAGTGCTGGAGAAAGACTTTGACAATATCAAACACTGTGAGAGAGGTTTGATAGTGTTCAGTCCCATTTATTTACCTTTATTTAAACAAGATAGTCCCAGAGGAAAGCCACATGTGTCCTACAGTCAGATTTACTTTTGATGTAAACTTCATTTGTTATGATTAAAGGTGCACTGTGTAACTTTTCTCGTGGAAGGTCTCCCAACTGCTTGTCTCCATGGAGCTGTTATTGCTTTGCCTGGAATGTTCCACAACTAAACATTAAACTCACCGATATCCATGAATATAAGCAAAAACTAAGCTTGGCGGGTGTCTCAGTGTATCTGTTTTTCATGGTATTTTTGATCAATAAAAACATCTGTAATGGAATATATGCAAAATAGACAAGTTTAATACCGTACTGTGGAACATTCCAGGAACAATAGTCAGCTCCGCATGAAGACAAGTAGGTGGTACATCTTTAAACGTTTTAATTTAGCCACCATTTTTTTCTGTTCCCTATGTACTTTCTTGGTTTAGATTTAGGATAGTCCACATGGTTTTCTCATCGCTGTACTTTGTGATATAAAGAGTGTTATGGGGAAACTAGTTGTGTGGCTTATAATTGTTGTGACCACCAGGGGGCATCGGTAAGAATGCACGATGAGATGATGGAGTTTATGCCTTTATTAAAACGTTGAACTCGTGTGGGTGTGTATGTGTATTTGTGTGTGGTCCTGAAACAAACAGAAGGAAGATATATAAATTATAATACACTCTATACAATAGTCAAACAAACATGTCGGAAACAAACGGTAATAGCTTTCTAATAACAGCGGGCCGCTAGCTAGCACTTAGCATCTAGCACATCTAGCATTTTCTTGAAACATATAATGGCCCTCGAACACACATTTCTATAATCGTCTACTGCAAAAAACACTCTACAAACAGCTTCATGTACATGTGCCTTTCTTCAACCACTACTCACTTCTTTCATACGCACACGAGACCCCACACCCACGAGCTCCGCACGACGCACTGAAAAACAACCAAAAACACGTAGCGCTGTCAACCAAACCCAAACACGACAACATCTGATTGGCCACAATATCTGTCAATCAAACATCCGGCAGAATATATTATGTCCTTCGACACAGCCGCCCCCAAATTTGTCCAGCAAATTTGACACTTAAGAAGGACTGGCTGGGTCAGAGTCAGTGTTGGGGATGGCTGGCAGAGCCACCAGACGTGCAACAGGTCTCATATAGGTCTTGTCCTTGACCCAAACCTCAGCAGCTCGCACACGTCCATCATGTCCAGGGAGAACTTTGGTGACCACACCAACTGGCCACAGGGCTCTCGGTAGCTGAGGGTCTATCACCATAACTGTGGTTTTAAGTTGCAGCTGTGCTGGGTCCTTATGCCATTTAGAGCGTGTCTGAAGGGTAGGGAGGAAGTGCCTGATGAAGTGAGCCCAGAACTGATCTGCTAACACTTGACTGTGCCTCCAGCGACGTTGGCTTAACAGCTCAGCATCCTCATAAACAGCCTGCGGCAGAGAGGGGTCAAGCCGCCCCATGAGGAGAAGATTGGGGGTCACGGGATCGGGATCTGCCACATCTGTAGAAACATAACCCAACGGCTTGGAATTTAAGATCCCTTCTACTTCTATCAGGACAGTCCTCAGGACTTCTTCTGGAACTGACTGAGTCTGGATAGCTGCATAAAGAGCAGCCTTGACAGATTTTATCTCTCTTTCCCATACACCACCAAAATGTGGTGTGTTTGGTGGGTTAAACTTGAACTGTATTTGGTGCTTAGCCAACTTGTCCCGAAGTGCAGGCTGTAGTGTTCCAAAGGCCTCTCTGAGCTCCCGCTCTCCTCCTTTAAAATTTGTTCCCTGATCCGATAGGAGCTCTGCTGGCTTGCCTCTTCTTGCGATAAACCTCCGGAGGGCCATAAGAAAGGGATTGCAATCCAAATTAGATAGGATATCTAAGTGCACAGCCCGCGTTGTTAAGCACTTAAAAATTATTCCCCATCTTTTTTCCAGGGAACGGCCCACTTTCACTGTGAACGGCCCAAAACAGTCCATTCCAGTGGAGAAAAAAGGTGGCTTTAACAGTCTCAACCTTGCCTCCGGCAGATCAGACATCTTAGGCACAGCTGGCATGGCCCTCCATCTCTGGCCATCTGGGCATGTATGCTGGTGTTTTTTGACTGCCTCTCGTCCATGAAGTATCCAATACTTGCGCCTCAGCTCGGCAAATAGGCGTTCTGAGCCTGGGTGACACAGGGCCCTGTCAGTGTCCTGGATGATGAGATGGGTTACTTTATGATGGGGGTCCAAGACCACAGGATGAATTGCCTCAGGCTCTAGTTGACTGCTACGTCTCAGCCTCCCCCCAACCTTAATGAGTCCTGTAGTCTGATCATACTCTGGGGCCAGGGTTAACAGTCTGCTAGTGGAGGCAACTGGCTTGTTAGTGCTCAACAAGTTGTACTCCTCTGGGAAGCTCTCCTGCTGGGCCTGCTGTAGAATCTCCCTCTCTGCTCTTTGATGATCTGTAGCAGAGAGCGTGGTCTGGCCAGGTGCCACCCCTTGACAGGACAAGGCAACAGTCTCTATGAGTTGAGTGAAGGAGGAGCACTTGTCAGCCTGAAGCTGCAGTGGTGTCTTGAGGGGGGTGGTGGTAAGGCAGGAGACAGCAGGCTTTCGCAATTCAGGATCAACTTTTGGCTCTTCCTTTGCTGGCTAAATGGGCCAAAACTGTGAAGGCTGCTGCAGAAAGGCTGGTCTGTGTCTCCACCTGCCGTTGTTGGACAGCTCCAGCAAGGTCTTACCCCGAGTGACATCATCGGCTGGGTTTTGTGCTGAGTTAACATATCTCCAGCTCAGAGGATTGGTCAGTTCCTGGATCTCAGCCAACCGGTGTCCCCACAAACACTTTAAATCGACATGAGTCTGACTGTAACCAGTTGAGAACAGTGGTGGAGTCTGTCCAGAGAATAACACTGTTGACCGTCACAGTCAGCTCACGCTGCAGGAGTGCAGCCAATTGAGCAGCTGTCAGAGCCGCACAAAGCTCAAGCCTGGGCATGGACTGTTGCTTTTTGGGGGCAACTCTTGATCGGGCAGTGAGGAAGGACACCTCCACTTGACCTTTGTAGTCCTCTGTGCGCAGATAGGCCACTGAGCCATACGCCTTCTCTGAAGCATCTGCAAACACATGAATGTCCCTGTGACAGTCTGTGGGGGTCTAGGGCTGAACTGACATAACACCGTGGCAGTGTAACTTGGGAGAGATGCTGTAACTCTGCTTCCCACTCCAACCAAGGTTGTAGCACGTCCTCAGGTAGGGATGGGTCATCCCACTCTCGCTGCTTCTCCCACAAACGCTGCACAAAGATCTTAGCACGTGTTGTAAAGGGAACAATGAACCCCAGAGGGTCATACAGACGAGCCAGGACTCTGTATATGTTCCGCATGGTGGGTGTGGGAGGGGCCAGTAGGTTGTACTTGTACCTCAGGGTGTCAGAGTTACAGTGCCAGCGCAGCCCGAGGGCAAGTTCTTGTGGGTCAGCGCTGGACTCCTGCAGCCACAGCTCACTGCTTTCGGACCTGACTTCTTTGATGGTCTCCGGAGCATTACTGGCCCACTGTCAGTTCAAACCCACCTGCAGCCAACAGTGCATTTAACTTGTCCACAAGGTGTTTGGCCTCCTCTACAGTGGGGATGCTTTGTAGACAGTTGTCTACATAGAAGGATTTCTCTATGGTCACTCTTACGTCCTCACCCTCTTGGCTGTGGTCAAACACGTGCTTCTGCAGCGCAAATGTGGCACAACATGGGCTGCATGTCGTTCCAAATGGTAGGACCTGCCAAACATAGACACTGGGTGGTTTCTCTGTCTGCAGGCCACGCCACAGGAAGCAGAGCAGCATCTTGTCTTCAGGGAGCAGCCTGACTTGATGGAACATCCCTTTTATATCACTGCTCACAGCAACAGCATGCTCTCTAAAGCGCAACAGCACCCCCAAGAGGCTAGATGTGAGGGTAGGGCCTGGCAGCAACAGTTCATTGAGATTGTCCCCTTTATAACAGAAAGAACAATTAAAAACAATCCTGTTCTTCCCATTGTGGCTTACCATGTGATGCGGGATGAACCACGATTCCTTTGCACTGCACAGCTCCTCTTCAGGGACCTTTAGCACATAGCCAGCAGTCTCTAGTTTGTTTATCTCTGTGCAATAGGCAGCAGCTTTCTCTGTGGGTCCCGCAGTAGTCTTTTCTCTGTACTGCGGAGATTAGCCAGTACAGCCTCTTTGGGTGCATTAAGCTGTGGCATGTTCTTCACTCTGAGGAGTGGAGTGGCATATCTCTGGACTCCTTGGATATCCACCCGTATGGTTTTAGCCTCCAGCAGCTGTATTGCCTCTTGATCCTGCCTGGAGCGCACTACCAGCTTCTCACTGCGATAGGGGAGGACGTCTAATTGCCACAACTTCTCAACATTCCGCAGTATTTCAGCAGTGGGTGATGCGGTTGAGATGTGAAAGCATTGCGGAGTGACAGATGCTTGTTCTCCATTCTTAATAGGTCCCTGAAGTGTCCAGCCTAACCTTGTTCTCACAGCAGCAGGTCCTCCAGGACGTCCGAGGCGCACAGGAGCCACTGGAGTGATAAGGTGTGGGTAATCTGAGCCTATCAACAACAGGGGGCGCACTCTGTTCATAGCTTGGAGTGGAAGACCTCTAAGGTGCTTGTACTTCTTCTGGAGTGCCTCCACTGAGTATGTGTGTTCAGCTAAACTCAGCGGCTCAGCAGTAAATGCACCTTTAATAGTGAATGTCTTTTGGGGCTGATCTTCAGGGGAAATGGTGAATGATACTGCTGCACCATGCATAAGCCTTACATCTTGTCTGACAGTTCTGAGGGCTAAGTCTTCTGGCTCACCAGTGAGTTGGAGTGTCTGGGCTGCAGCTGACAGCAGGATGGTCCGTTCTGACCCATCGTCGAGTACTGCATATGTCTCTAAAAGGTTTCTTACCATTGCGTAACAGCACCCTGCTAATCTTTAACAGGACTTGGTTGCAGCCAGAACGTCTGTCTAAATACAGGACTTCATTGGTTGAGCTAACAGGGTTTACTGGGTTCTCAGGGGACTTTGCATTAACATCATGTAGGGCCTGCAGATGTTTCCCTTTACACTTTGGACATGTGATCTTCAGCCGACACTGTGCAGCTTGATGTGAACGTGCACAGCGCCAGCACCTTCTGTTGGCCTTTATCCACGCTGATTTCTGCTCCACTGTAAGCAGTGCAAAGTTACTACACTGGTCAAGATAATGCAGTGTATTGACACAATAAGGGCAAAATGCAGTCTTATCTGTCTTATTGGGGGTGGCTGGTGTTTGCTCTGCTGGGGGGCCATCACTTGACTTGTTTTGTGTATGAAAGATGCTAGTGTTCCTGTTGCTCTTACTGTCATGGCGCCGTGCTGTCTTGGATTCATTGCTGCTCTTTACCTCACTGTGCAATGACTCATACACTGTCTCTTGTATTTTCAGCTCATAGTTGAGCCAATCGGAGAAGTGCAGAAGACTGGGAATAGTGACACGCATTGGATACAGGAACCTCTTGAACTCTGCTCTCATATCTTGTGGCAGCTTAGACAGTAACCGTGTCACATGTGATCCACAGCAGAGCTCTGTCTGTCCACTTTTACCCAGCTGCTCCAATAGGCCCACCAGCGCTCTTACTCTTAATGCAAACCTCTTGAAGCCAGCGGTGTCTCCACGAGCAATGTTAGAGGACTCCATCAGGTCAGCTATCTTCCTGAGCGCAAGCTGATGTGGCTGGCCGTACCTTTCAATTAAACTAGTCACTGTGTCAGTGTATGGCTGCTGTGAGTTGATATAGGAATCAGCAATAAGTAAAGCATCTTCATGCTTCAAATGGTCCAACAGGATCTGATACTTAAAGTGCTCAGTGGCATCTTCAGGCAGAAGATTATCCAGGGCCACTTTAAGCCTGGCAAACTCTCTGGGGTCTCCCTTTGTGAATGTAGGAATGGTAGGCTTTGGGCCGCGATACACCACCTCATTCCGTGGGGGAGGCAAGGGTGGGTTGTGCAGTGACCCACACCTGGGTGGAGTATAGGGGATGCAGTACTCTGGTGTCTGCACACCAGATGGAGGAGGGTTTATATCTGTTTGATAGCCTAGCTGCACTTGTGGCGTCGTCCTCAGGTCCCGGAGCAACTCTGTGAGTTCAGACACCAGTGTCTGTGGTGGTGGCAAAGGCTTATCTATGAAGTCATGTGTCACCGGGGGAGGAGGCGGCGGCCAGTAGTCATCTGGGTCTGCAGGTAACATGAAGGCAGCAGATGTAGGGGGGGGGCGGAGGCAGAGACAGACTTTGATCCTGATTTACAGGTACACTGACTATTGGTGAAGGAACAGGAGCAAACACTGGATTGGATAATGGGGGTTGGGGCGTTACTCTGGTATTAAGGTGCCTTTGCATCTCCATTATCTGTTTTTGCATCCTTTGATTATCATCAAGCACTCTGTGTAGTAATGTAAGCGTGTCAGGTGTTTCTGCAGCTGACCTCTGCCTATATTGAATTGGTGTGCTTGTAGGCAATGGAAGTGAGTACTCTTCTTCATATGGGTCCATAGCTCTGGCTCCTTGCAGTGTACTCCAATCCTCAACAGGTGGTGGAAGTGTGAGAGATGTCATCCTGGCACTTCTCTCCATTGATCCCTCCACACTGGGAAAGGGTCGCTGTGACTCATATGCCTCATAGACTGACCGCTGCTGAGCAGGTGAGGAAACATAATCCTGCATCCAAGCTGGTGGTCTTCTCTCTCGGCGTGGCCGGGCACCTGCGTCGTGTAGAGGGTAACTTCGGTCTGAATACATCTCTATTTAATCCCACGGTGGCCACACTTATCCGGCTCGAAGGACCAATATGTTATGGGGAAACTAGTTATGTGGCTTATAATTGTTGTGACCACCAGGGGGCATCGGTAAGAATGCACGATGAGATGGAGTTTATGCCTTTATTAAAACGTTGAACTCGTGTGGGTGTGTATGTGTATTTGTGTGTGGTCCTGAAACAAACAGAAGGAAGATATATAAATTATAATACACTCTATACAATAGTCAAACAAACATGTCGGAAACAAACGGTAATAGCTTTCTAATAACAGCGGGCCGCTAGCTAGCACTTAGCATCTAGCACATCTAGCATTTTCTTGAAACATATAATGGCCCTCGAACACACATTTCTATAATCGTCTACTGCAAAAAACACTCTACAAACAGCTTCATGTACATGTGCCTTTCTTCAACCACTACTCACTTCTTTCATACGCACACGAGACCCCACACCCACGAGCTCCGCACGACGCACTGAAAAACAACCAAAAACACGTAGCGCTGTCAACCAAACCCAAACACGACAACATCTGATTGGCCACAATATCTGTCAATCAAACATCCGGCAGAATATATTATGTCCTTCGACACAAAGAGGCTGCCCTTCTAACACCCACTACTGTATATCTCTGTACCACACTGTAAATTTTTTCTCTCTCTCCATCCTTCTTTGGACAAAAGCACGACACTTGGTTTGTTTGTGTTGTTGTGTTAAGAAGAAGAAGTTGTATAAAGTCCGTCAATAAATTACCACTGATGCACTTTATACAACTTCAACTTCACATCTCACTATTCAACCTGAGCGCACAAGAAAACTCAGGACTTTGACAGGATCAAACACACTATACGAGAGAGCCCAGACCTTCTCCCTGCAGCTGTGTGGGGTCCAGCAGCTCCATCATGTAGTCTGTGTCCACCTGGATCGTGATGAGGTCACACTGGAGCAGCACCCAGGTCAGACAGGGCAGGAAGTCATCTGCCCCAAACACTGCACCTACAACGAGAAGAAATGTTAAAGGTGCCTTGTGTGCAGACGTGGGGACTTGCAAATCGTGACTTGGACTCGAGTCAAACTTGAGTCAGTATTTTTAGGGCTTGAAACTTGACTTGATAAAATCGACTAAAACTTAGGACGTGACTTGGACTTGAGGCCTGTGACTTGAGAAGACTTGATGCTTCTCCTAAAAAAATATATGCTTTTAGAAAATACTTTACAGCTGATACATGTGGTGCTTAATTTTACAGAAACAAACTGGAACATGTCCCACCCACTTCTCTATTTGTTACTATGGCAACAGTAACTGAAGTACTGTGGTATGGTATCCTCAAATGTCTTACAGGAGTATAAAATACAATACAGTGAAACAGACGGAACTGCAAAGAACATGATCCTTCCATTTCAGTGCAGACAACATGGCAAAATAACTGTTAATAAGCACTCTCAAATTATTTTTTTCTGTTCTGACCATCATGATTTTGTCAAGACATTTAAAAAGGAAAAATTTGCATTCCTAGAACTTTATATAAGTTCTCACAATGTAAATATACCATGACTTTTTACTATTTTATGGTTTAAAAGTAATATAAATTGCAAAAATTGTGCTTTGGTTTAAAATAACTTGAAGCATTTGAATGATTTCAGCTCTGGAATTGATCATCATTACTAAACAAAAGGTAAAAGATAGTCGTTAAAAAGCATTTTGAACTTTGGAGATGTAGACAGACTAATAATAAAGGGTTACTGAAACATTTATGATTGAAACAAAACACAACTCCAGGTATATTTTTAAGGAGGTAACAACATTCTAACATGATTTAAAGCTCACAAGAGTCCATTTTGCGTAATATGGGAGCTTTAAATTAGTCTGTGTTACTAACTTTACCTTTCAGTGGCCAAAATGTTTTCCCTGAATGATGTATTTGTCAAAGAATACGGTGAATGAAAAGTGCTCACCCGTGTTGTTGGAGTTGATGCTCATGCTGTGGTAGATGGTCTTACAGACTTTAAGCAGGATCTGGACTTTCTTGTTTGGGGAATAGGCCTTGTGCATGATGTCCCACTTCTGCCTGATACTCTCTAAAGTGGTAGAATCCGGGACACCCACCCCGGCCGACCCCCCCAGCTGCTCCATCCCGCTGTACTGGAGGCGGGGCTTGTTGCTAAGGAGACGGTCCAGGGTCCCATCACTGGAGCGGGAGGTTTGGATGCAGCCGTAAAGGTGAGAGGACAGAGGTTTGAGAGCCACTTTGTGAATGGACTGTTCTACAAATATGTCTGAAAGCAACACGAGATAAGAGAGGATGTAAGTTCACAAATAAATGCTTTTTTTTTTTTTACATTATATTAAGTAAATACTGTACATTTTTAATTATGAAGAAACAGTGTATGTGGTATATATGGATTTGAGTTCTTGTTAGTTTTGTCAAAAAATATCTAGATACTAATTAGAACTATCACCAACACGTATCAATAAAAGAGGACACTTCCCTGTATATTTTTAAATGATCTAAATCAGAATAAGTTGCCATAAGACCGCATGGTAATATTACAAAAACTGCTATTATTTTGCGTTTCTTACAATTGACAGAGTTTGAGTTTTAAATTTTACGCTGGATTTCTGTGTATGTATGTATATTTACTTGTCTTCAGCTTGAAAATGAAAGAAATGAAAAATGAAACTAAATACTCTCATTCCTATACTATTATTACTAATTTTGTAACAATTTCAGATCCATATTTCACATCCATATTTATCATGCAAGGTTATGTGAATGAATATGCATTATTAAAGATCCACTTTGGGCATGAGTTAAAGATGCACTTATTTATTTATTATTATTATTATTATTTTTTAATCTGTTTGTATTTACTTAAACCTTTAATATTGCACTTTACATAAAATTATGTAGTTTGACGCTCTAAATGTCTTTTTGTTGTTTTTGTATGACAATGGCAATACAATCTTGAATACTGAAACATTAGTTTGCAGTAACGGTGCCCTGCATAACTTTTCTGGTGGAGGGTCCGCCACTTGCTTGTCTCCATGGAGATCTTATTGCTTTGCCTTGAATGTTCCATGGTATGGCATTAAATATATTCATCTAGCATATATTCATTATGGGTGTTTCTGTTATTCAAAAACACAATGACTCTTTCTGTGAATAGGGGTGACTCTCCACAGATCTGAATTGTAATGTAGTGTAGTGCTCTAACCTGCTTGTTTCCCTTGTGATAGACATTTAATCTATACTGTGGAACATTCTAGACAAAGCAAAAGAAACAAGCTGTCAATAGGACAAAAGTTTTTTTTTTTTAGACAAATACATTTCACAGCTCATCCAAGGTGCTTTTTCAGAACTGAAGAAGACAAATTGAATTTCTTCTTTGCCATGGATTCTACCTAGCCTGATTCATCAGCTGGTTTCACTTTGTGGAAACCATCTGACCTCGCAGCATTAGGATTTGTTCGCTTGACAGTAGGTGGGTACTTTTTTATTTTAACCAATCATTGCTATTTGGTCATGACGTATGTAATGCGCCGCTAACAGGGTTAACTGGTATATTAAGCTTTTCCCAAATCCTGTAGGAAGAAGGGCAATAACGCCTTTCCCCTTGATAAAATTCAACAAACATTCTCTTTATTCCGGCTTTAAATCCTTGATCTTGGGAATCGTTGCCAACACAGAATGTCTGGCTCTTCGCTGATTGGCTGGTGCCTGGTCTTGCACCTCTGGGGTTTTTGCGAACCACCTAGTCTCTAGTGTATTCCAATTTGTGACCTAGTTGCTGGAGAGAAATGAAACTGAGTGGAGACACTAGGTGGCGCCAGCCTGGCTAGATACTACCTGGATGACTGGATGAAATTTGACATACATTCTAGACAAAGCAATAACATTTCCATGGAGACAAGCAGGTGGCGAAGATTTTATTGCCATTCTCATAGAAAAACAACAAAATGACATTTAGAGCATCAAACTCTGCATAACTGAATGTAAAGTGCAACACTGAAGGTTTAAGTCAATTTAATTTAAAGTTTAAGTAAAAAAAAAAATCTGAACATTATGACTTGACTTACCAAATTCTGCATCACTTATGTCCGTCATGCTATCCAGAAGCACCTGTATCTCTGTGTTGTCCAGCAGCATCTCCCGTAGCGACGTCAGCGATGCTCTCACGTCCTGTAAGAACTCGGTCAGTCCATCTTTCTCTGGGCTTTTCTGCAAAATGGCTTCCACAAAAAGTTTCACACTCTCGCCAAAAGTTGCCCCTTTTCTCTCGCTGATCTCTTGGACTCTATAATTCAATTTTTTCTTTTGAGAAACCAGCCCTCCCAAAGCTTGCCCCACTGCCGAGAAGCGATTTTTCACTTTATTGGCCAAACGTTGCGTGGAGGGGCTGTGTGGCGTTGATGTTGGAGTTGCGGGGTCTTGCTCTTCCTCTATACTGCTGATTGACAGAGAGTCTAGTTCCAAAGATGGCGGGTTGAGATGCGAGGGGACTTTAGGAGGAGGCAGCCAAATGCCATCCTCGACCCAGGAGACTCTGTGAGGAGACTGGGGAGCTGGGGAGTTGTGGTGGTCCTCAGATGAAACAGGGGCAGAAAAGGGGCGTGAAATGGCGGTGCTGGGGGAGGTGAGGGGAGAATCTCTGCTGGGGCGACGGAGAACTACACCAGAAGGGGGCGTTGGTGGCTCGGCTGGCGCAGTAGGGTCAGGGTTCTTTGAGGAATCAGCAGATCGGGCTCGGGTAAGACCTGGAAATGAAACATGTAGTGAAACTTTTGTTAACCACATTTTTAACTTCGTGTTGTGTAGAAAGTTCACTACAGAAACACTACTTCCGCTTCTCTAGTCCACAATCTGGTTAGCTCCATGGAGATTGCTTTACTTTGAACGTGTCACAACATGGCATTAACATAATCTCTCCAGAAATATATAACCGCAGAAAATACCCTGAGAAACATGCATTCTTACAGTGCGTAGAGACTCCTCTCCACAAATCTAACCTGTCCCTTGGCCCGTTACTGGCACATGCTTGTCTCCATGGAGATAGTAAAGTTTAATGCTATCCATCCATGCTTAACCACTGAGATAAGCAGGTACATAGTGCACCTTTAAGTTACCTGTATTTTCATAAGTAGGTACAGGTGGTTCTTGTTCGAGAGAAATGGCTCTTTTGTTGTGTAGTCCGGCCCCAGACCAAGCCCTGGTGGTGCTGAGGCGGCGGTTGTCTCGTTTGTACTTAGTGGGGACGGTGCTCTGGATTCTGGTGGTCTTCTGCGTCAGCCACTCATCCCCGTGCTCATGGAGGTACAGTGGGTTGATCACGCACAGAGCGCCACTCGAGGAAGTAAGCTGTAATATACAAAAAAAGGTCCTTGAATACACAAAACTGACTCTTGTGAGCTTCAGAGGTGCATTGTGTAACGTTTCTGGTAGAGGGTCCACCACCTGCTTTTTTTCCTGGAATGTTCTACAGTATGGCATTCAGGTTAAAGGTCAGATCTGCAGAGGAGTGGGCCCGCTCACAGTAATGATGCATGTTTTTGTGGTAGTTTTAAGAAATAAAAACTCCTATAATTGAATAAATGCATGAAATATCCATTAAATGCCATACTGGGGAACATCCCAGGCAATGCGATAACATCACCATGGAGACAAGCAGATGGGGGACAGAAAAGTTACACAGTGCAGATTTAAACCATGTTAGAATGTTGTTACCTCAATGAAAACATACCTGGACTTGTGTTTTGTTTTATTCACACATGTTTGAGAAATCCTTTTATTATTAGTCTTTCCAAATAATTTCCAAAGCTCAAAATGCTTTGTTCCATCTTGTAATGCTACAAAGATGTAGTTTTTAAAATAACAGCTACCTTTTAACTTTTTTAATGGTTGGGGAACACTTACCAATGTACACTTCATCCACTATATATATTACAATAACGAGTTTTGCGAATTATCTGTGAAGATGGATTTTCAAATTGCCAAATGTTCTAACTACCTGTAAAAGTTTCTGTGCGTCTGTATGAGGTGTAAAACTCTGGAACAGTCTGGATACATATATAGAGAGAGTGTCTGCCTTCTGTCGTGCTGCTTTATGCTTGTTGTTTCCTCTTTCTTGTATCTGTTGTCTGTTACTATTGTTGTATCCTTAAACTTACCATTGTCAGTATACTTATGTATTATTGTAATATGATGATGTTATGGTACCAAGCTATTACAGTTACTCATTGTCTGCATTTGTGATTTCATATAGTTTAATGAAAAATATCTGAAGACTGCTCATGTTAAATTAGAATTAGAGGGGGGGTGGGATTAAGTAAGTTTTCTTCTTCCCACTCCTTTTTGGGCAAATGTATTTATTTATTTATTTATTTAAGTTATTTCTATTATGATTTCACTAATGTTACATGTATAAGAATGTAAATCTTTTACTTGCCCAAAATAAAAACATAAATAAAAAATAATAATAGATCACAAAATACAGCATAACATGGTCCTTTTGATCAATTACCTGTATGGTGCACATTACAGATGTGTTATTGTTGCTGTGTTCTTCTGACGGCTCAGAGGAAGCATTGAGCCACATATCTGTGAAAACAGGAACATTATTTAAAAAATAATAACTAAAAATAAAAACTGTTAAATGAAATAATGAACCTACTGGGATGGAACTCTGACGGATAGTCCTTGTTCTCAGTTACATTGTAGATCCACTGAGGCAGGCACAGACATACAGGCAGCACATCTCTGACAAAAATAAAGTGTCAGTCATTCTGAAATATTCACAAATAGTAAGTGCTACTTCTTGGTAAAAACAAGATACCACACAATCCACACACTATCTCTATTCTACTACCTCTATGTACCGGTAATCGCTTTTAAATGTAAATGTTCTACATAACACAGAATTGACTTTTGTGAGCTTTTAGTCATGTTACAATACTGTTACCTCCTCAAAAACATACCTCGAGTTGTCTGTCAATAAATATTATTATTATTATTATTATTATTATGCCCGAGCACCTTGGACCTATTGTAATTGTTCAGCAGCATAGCTCATGCAAATAGAGAGCGAGGTGCTCTCCCCTTTCCAAACATAGTGGCACTCATGTCATCGACTGGTGTCCACTGACATGGCGCAGTGGCATCGCCCATGGCCACGATAGTTCACCCCAAAACAGAGCAAAAACAGAGGGCAGAGCGCTCTCCCCTTATCAAACACTCAATCTACTCAATAGTGACACTCATGGCATCCAATAGTACAGACTAGCATTGCCCATTGCCGCAACAGCAGAATAACTGTAATCGTTAACTCTGGTAAACTCCAAAAATGTGCATTGGCTATGTGAGTAATCAAATAGGTCAAGAGTGCAATGGACTCGTTATTGACAATGGACCCCACGGGTGCGTTACTGGATGCGAGCAGTTTCCAATGACATTCATATGTGCCACCATAGGTAGCCCTATATTGTTATTGTTCTGGTTTTTCTTATTATTATTTTCCTCACCCCTGGAGCACAGTTCGATGAATTGTCACCGAAAAAAAACTCACCAAAATTTGCACAAAATTCAAGAATGCCAAAAAAAGGGCACGACAGTGCCTATGGCCTATACCTCAAAATATGAACTTTGTCGTAAACAAATGAAATTCATGTGGTGGATAGGTCCTGTCCTTCCAAACAAAAAATATATATTATGTGGTTGTGAGGCAACCAACAGGAAGTCGACCATATTGGACTGATTGCCACCTGGCACCAAAGTTGCGATTTCCTGTCCACATACTTTAACAAACTCGTTCTAGGATTTTTGACTCAGCCTCACCAGAATCATTCTGTATCATCTGGACAAGTGGGACATTAAAAGTTGTTAAAACTGTTCTAAAAGATCAAATGGTGTTGTCGAGGCAATGGTGCAAATGTTTGTTTTTGCGACTCACCATCAAACAACATTTTTTAAAATTAAAAATTTTACTTTGTCATAGATATACAAAATTTGGTACACACATTCGTGACATGGTCTCAATGAAGAAAGTCAATATGACACCCACACTCCATCTCCCATTGTATTTCCATGGCACTCACCTGCATTTCACACATACGGGTCATTAAGATGTATTCCCCTCACTAATGTTCATTTAACATCATAACTTATTTTATCACATGGCTATAAACTGTTAATCAAATTCTGCAGGTCACAAGCTGCAAGTAGTGTAATATGCAGCCGGAAATGGTAATCAAGGAGCAGACAGAAAATTTGGAGTGAGTGAGAAACTTGTGAGGAAGGACTGGTGAAGAGAGAGATGTATGTATATGTTAGGATTCTGGATTATATAGTATGAATGGTCACTATGTAATTAATTACTATGCATTTTTTCTAGTGTCATCTGCTTGTCTCTATGGCAATGCTTTGCCTGGAATGCTCGCCAGTCGGTCATTAAACCTATTCAACAAGGCCAAATAAGTCAGATCTGTGGAGAGGCGTACCCACTTGAGTAATAATGCATGCTTTTGAGGTGTTTTTGTGCACAAATTAGCTTAAAAGCAAGATAGATGCTAAATGCAATTGTAACACAAATGAAGACAGAATAACAGGGCTTTTGTGTAACAGTGTCACTTCATTCTGTAAACACAGAAAAACAGATCTGTTGAGTAATCGTGACTTTAACAACAGTTGACACAGAACTGCACTGCTTCTGGTGCAGCGCTTTAGAGCTCAGTCTGCCTTAACTGCACCATTACTGACTCCTACTGGAGTAATTTGGTATTGCAGCTGTAACTGAATAATTAAATGTGAGTAAGTGCCATAAATCTAAATATAGCCAGAACATTACAAAATTAAAAGTTATTGGGGGGTGCCTTTTTGTAACAATTATTTTGAGGGTGCCACACCCTTCCCTGCTTAATTGGTCACTGGGTGACATTGAAGAAGGTGAAGACCCTATGGTGTTCCAACAGTTTATGAATGATCTCCAGTTGTTTGTTGAGTCACTGGAAGGATATGAAGCAGCCAAACCTGAGCCATCAAAGACAGTTGCTCCCACTGACAGACTTAAATACCCAGGCAATGTTGCATCCTAGAGGAAAAGATAGGAGCGTTGGGGGTCAAGCTGAGCAATATGGCAGTAAGTAGTAAAGGAGAAATGACTTCACCTGTGACACCCAGAACACCTGAAATTACATTAAAGAAATGCTTTAAAATATGGTGCAAAAAGAAAAACTCTCTTTCACCAGTCACACCAAATGTTGAGTTAGGCTTAAAGAGGGGCTACTCTGAGTTTGAAATCATTGAAATTGTCAGTAAAGCTGTCAGCCCTGGTCTTCACCTCAGAAACCTGCTGGAAGTGAAGTGTAGTCTCAGACTCACACTCAAAATCATTCAAGGCTACTACGAAGCTGACTAATCATCTGATCTGCTGCACAGGCGCATAAACATTTCCCAAGATCCTCAAGAGTCAGCTCAAGCATTCCTGTTCAGGGCAATCGAGCTGAGAGAGAAACTCCTCTGCAAATCCAAGGAAGAAGATGAGGAGGAGCAGTTCAGCCCAAATCTGATCCAGTGCAAGTTCTTGTGGTCACTCGAGACAGGTTTGTTAAGTGAAGCAGTGACATTCCAGTTAAACCATACATAAGCAATACAGTTGTGGCAGAAGAGGGTTTAACTGAGAAGATAAATGAGGCAGCTAGTCTTGAGAAAGAGGAACAAAACAAACTAAAGAGACACATATTACTCAAACCACCCAGAGTCAATGAAATAGAAGCAGAGGTGCAACCCAGCACCAGCCACGAATTAACCAAGACAGTGCCACTGACACACAAGAAGGGAGACAGACCAAAAGGGGTGACAGAGGTAACAAAAAGAAAGGGCCACAGTACAGGGAGCCAGATCCAGAGACTGTTAAGTTTATTGAAGGCCTCAAAGCAGATGTGCAGGAGATCCAGAGACTGTATACTGAGTCAGGGGCAACACCAAAGTGCACACTCACTAGAGCAAAAGGATGCCGTGTGCAGAGAGGCTAGGACTGATACATGCCGACACTGCTGCCGGTGTGGACAAGAAGGCCATCTCTCATGTGGGTGCACACAAGGAAGACAGCAGCAGGGAACCGCTGGCACTGGCTTCTCGTCGCTCTCTGCGCACTTTGGATGGATAGTTTTGTGAGGATTCACAAGCCTGATTTTTTGGTGGGGTCCCCACAAGCATTTATTGCCCTATGTGTGGGAGGTTGGGGTATATGTCACTTTTCCTCGCAGGCACGTCTATATAAGGGGCCCTATTTATGCGTGTCCGCCCCCTTACATATCTGCCCCGCACCTGGCGTCACACACTATCAAGAGTCGACCTGAGCTCGATATCATCACACGTCTACCCACGGAGAGAGCGCCGGTGGCCTACAGTCCTCTCCTTTGACCAGCTCAGACAGTCAACTACAAGAACAGTGGGTGTGGACCACATCAAGGTGAGCGTCCTACCCACCTGTTCACAGAGACTATGGAGACTGTGGGCGTGCCGTGTGCAATGAGACTATATTTTGTAGTTGAGTAAATTGTTCATGCCAAAATACTCTGATTGAAACACTGTGATGGTACAGTAACAGACAAAGAGAAAATGTTGACCGATTTTGTGTCTGGTTACAAGGTAAAAGGTATTGTTTCACCTAAACAAAGTTGTTAACTCCAGGTATTGAAAATGTTTACAAACAGTAATTTTATACTACAAAAGTGATACTTTTGTTAGGGCCTAATGCTCTTAAAAGCATGGGGGATGGGGGAACGGCTTTCTAAGGAAAACCAATAACATCTCCATGGAAACAAGCAAGTAGTGGACCCCGTCATTAGATAAGTTACACAGTGCACTTTAAACTCTCTTTGTAACATTGTATTTTAAGCCTTTATGGCCATAGAGATTAAAATATAAAACTAAACTCTTACCTGGTGAATGAGTAGAAGAGCACCAGCTGCGTTAAGTCAGAGAAAGACAGACGTGATCCAGACAAGTGAAAAACTGAAAGAAAATAAGGAAGGGGCAGCGTTAATCTATCACTATGTTCTAAGAGAACATAAACTAAATTAAACTCACATTAATAGATTTATGGTAGCTTACGTGAGCACAGGAAACTGAGATAAACAGTGGAATAGTGTGTGAACTGTATAAGCTTTTTAGTAAACTGGTACTTTCAGTTTGAATGTACGGGCTTGTATTTCTTTATTAGCTACTGTTTACCCCTGATCTTATATTACTGTAAAACAAGACTTGCATTTGGAATAAGTGTTTCCACAGCACAGTCAAGTAATGTCAGTGAATGCAGGTAGATTTCCAATTTTGTGGCTAACACTACACTCCCACAACTAGTTAGTTAGAGTGGGTTTATAGTGGTTTGCTTGTCTCTATTGTTTTGAATAATTTGTGAGTGGATTATATAATTAAAAAGCATTATTTATAGGTGCACTGAGAAACTTTTTTGGTGGAGAGTTTGTCAGCTGGTTCTCGTTGCCTGGAATGTTCCACAGTATGGCATTACACAACAGGTGAAACCACAGGGCCAAGTTACATGTCAGATCTGCAGAGAGGCGACCTCACTCACAGTAAGAATGCAAGTTTTTCGGTCAATAAAAACCCACATTAATGAGTAAATGCAAGATGGATATGTTTAATGCCATACTGGAACATTGCAGACAAAACAATAACATCACCATGGAGACAAGCAGGCGGCGAACCCTCCACCAGAAAAGCTACACAGTGCACCTTTAACTAATTACTGTTTTTGTATTTCAATGAGAAATGGTGATGCATTAAAAAGTGCGCATACGCCTCACCAAAAACAGTACTAAACCAGGATTAGACCAGCACGAGAACAGGACCAAACCAAGTCTACACCAGGAATAAACTGAACTAAACCAGGACCAAACCAAGACAACAAGAAAGCAGAATCAACAGATCAATGTAAATCACAATAACAGGTTAATAAAGGAAGTCCATGACAACAAACATGACAACAGGACATTTATGACCCAGAGCCTGAATGTTTTTGAATAATTGCAGTAAATAAATGTCAGTAGGTGGGGACAGGAGGAAGGTGAAAGCCTTGAATTCAGGACAATACAGGATTACTCAGACATGCATGATATAAAGAACTCTTGAGTAATTTAACATCATTGTATTTTGTATTTTAGTTTTCTTAGCTCTATTTGTTATAATTCTGCAGGTCTGTAACAAAAAGCATTTCCTTTTGATGTTTCTGTCTTGGCCTAGCCAGGGTGGCGCCACCTAGTGCCTCCACTCAATTTCATTTCTCTCCAGGTCAGGAATTGGAATACACAAGATGGTTCGCAAAAACCCTGGAAGCGCCATATATTTTGTGTTGGCAACAATTCCCGAGATCGAGGATAAAGGATGTTTGAGATGTTTGGATAAAGGATTAAAGTCGGAACAAAGAGAATATTTGCGAATTTTATAAAGGGGAAAGACGTTATTGTCCTTCTTCCTACGGGATTTGGGAAAAGCTTAATATACCTGTTAGCCCCATTAGTGGCGCATTACATAAGTCACAACCAAATAGCCATGATTGGTTAAATGAAAAAAGTACCTGCCTGCCGTCGAACGAACGAATCCTAATGCTGCGAGGTCAGATGGCTTCTATGAAGTGAAACCAGCTGATGATGTCGTAAGTTAATTTAATTCATAATTTGAAAACTTTGTTCATATCTGAATGATTATTTCATGCAAATGTTTAATAATTTAGGTCAAAAGGCATGATGTCTGTACTGTAAAAAGTGTGGAAGCTGCAAAAACTAATGCCTTTGTCATATTTCATTATCAGTCTATAATACATGAAAACTGAAAATTATTATGTTTGGTCACAGTTTTCACTCCATGTCAAGGTGAAATACTGAACATTAAAGCAACAACATACTGCGTTGGCTCATCTCTTTATTGTGAATGGAGTTTAGCGTAATGTTAAGTCTACAGTCCTTGCATTGATGAGAACACTAGAGTTTCAAGTAGATTTTATATATACTATCTACTATCTATCTTAATCTAATCATATGTGGCAGTATTGGTGGGTTTCAGAAATGAAGGGAGAGCACTTCCTGTATTGCCACATAACATCACAACGTGGAACAGACTGGTTTCGGTTTGAGAAAAGACCACAGCCTAAATATGCATGGTTTGTGTGTTAAACATGTGTGAATGAAACAAAACACAACTCTGAGAGTGTTTTTAATGAGGAAACATAACATAGATCAGAAAATAATGTTATATAGGCGCTTTAAACATTGTGAACTGAAACCCATATATGTGTCTCGTACCTTTGCCTGTGCAGAGGATGTTGCTCTCTGTGACTGGTGCATGCTGGTCTGAAGAGGAGACACAGAGCAGGTGGGGCTCACGTGTCAAAGTGTTTCTCAAAACCAGGAAACTCTGCAGGGAAACACATGAGTCATTACAGTAAAGAGTCCAGACAAACCACAAGGGAACCAGTTTAAATATTCAGAAAGCACGCACCATGCAGACAGACAGGAGGGGGATGTGACAGTAATGATGGGGTAGATAGACTTGTGAAGCACCGTTGTTACACTTGTCTATATAAAATTGTGAACCAACCAGTGTAAAGGAAAAAAAAGAATAACTTCCCCAAACGTTACACAAACTTAATTTTGGTTTTGATAACATTGTGCCCCAAGATTGGAACATATTTGAACAATTGATCTTTGTTCAAATATGTTCTTTTTTTTAAAGATCTTATACCCTGCAAAATTACTTAAACAACTTTTTAAAGGCACAATGTGTAACTTGTATTTATCTATCAGATTTATAAACAGTTGCTCCAAAGTTATAACCCTGGATACACAAAATTTTATATGTAAAAAAATACACCTGCTTATCTCAACTGGCATTAAATGTATCTATCTCCAAGGGAAAAGCAGGTTCCACTGTGGAGCATTCTCCTCATTTATCTCACATTTATTCAGTTGTTTTTGTTGCTAATAAAAACATACATTGATCACCTCTCCGCAGATTAGACCTGTAACTTGGCCTGTGGCACATACTTGCTAGTCTGCTTTCATGCCACGGCATTCCACAAAGAAATAATGTCTCTGTGATTAGGGGTGTGCAAAAATATTGAAATATCAATATATATCATCTCATTTAATGTGATGATACAGAATCGATATCGTGGGTTGTCGAGTATTTTTTGGTATATTTTACTAAATTATTTTATTACAGAGCTACAGTTTTGCTGCTTGTTTAGAGGAAAGAACCTTGTTTATATGACACATCTGACATTTTCACTGTTTTGATGTTTTTTGAGTGGTTTAACAAAGACTTTTAGTATCACAACCATGATTTAGCCTTTATTTTGTATTGAACCATAGCGAATTGTATTGTATCGAATCGAAAGCTCACTGTATGGAGATACATATCATATTGTGGCCTATGTATCGGGGTATCGGCAACTTCTTAATGATACCCAGCCCAATCTGTAATGGAGATGAGCAGGTGGTGGACCCTTTACTGGAAAAGTTATCCAATGCAGCTTTCACTAAAATGTTCAGCAAACAACGGTGCAATCTTTAACGAATTCACATTTTTAATTTGCTAATCAAGAAACAATATATTATAAGGAACTGTGATTAAAACCAATTCAAATTCAAATGTCATGCATGCAATGTCAAGCATGAAGAAAGCAGAAATGAACTTCTATGTAAATCTTTTTAATTTGCTGCATGCCGGTTCCCAAAATCAGTGGAACAAATGAGATGTAAAATATAAATAATGACAGATAATGCCACTATTATAAAGGTTACAGGAAATATCTAACGCTATGTCCTCTAATACAAATGAAACACTTCCTACACATTTCTGTCTCTCATTTCTATCTGTCTTTGTTCGTGGGAACTGCCCAGCTCTGTGTGTTACTGGCAGTGAACTATTTTCAATGTGATTTCCTGAGTAAGATACTAATGATGTAATGTGGGAGAAACGTAACTATTGTGAAGCTGAGGAATTTCTATACCTAAGTATTGCAGTATTGTAGTATTGTAGTACTGTAGATTGTATTTGAGTACTATATTTTCTAGGGGTAGGTGAGACACACCAGAAGATTAGATCTATGAGAACGAGGCAAGACGAGATTTTGACCATTTGTAATAAATAAATAGTACAATCCATTTCAGAATTTTGGCTTTACCATTTTTATTTATTTTATGTAATACTGTAGCGTTCATAGTACTGCTTTTTGGAACTGCAGCTTCTCAAATTGTAAAACTCACCATCTCTTAACTCTTTTTGTCTAAGCCAAAGGGAAATTCACTCGGAAAAAATCTAACAAGAAAAATTTTCTCATATGTGTGTGATCTTGTGGCAATTTTGTCTCAAGAGATCTTGTGACACGAGATCTTACGGCATGAGATCTAACAGCATGAGATTTGTACCATTCCTAATATTTTCCCTTACTCTGTGTCCAAATAAAAAAAAAGAAAGAAAGAAAGAAAAAAGTTAAATATTAACAATCACACCATATATTTTGCAGGTAGTCTGAAATTTGTCAAAATTGGTGGACAATAAAACAAACCCTAAAAGCTTAAAGTGCTAAAAAATACTATGCATGTATTTTTCGACTATAAGTCACACTTCTTTTCATGGTTTGGGTGGTCCTGCGACTTATACTCCGGTGCGACTTATATATTAAACTTTTCACACTGAAGCTGTGAGAGGCTCTAGGCTTGTGTGTCAGTATGTGCTGCTCCTGTACAACTATCACTTGGCTCTACTGCGCATGTTTCCTGCATGTGTCCTGCTGCAAGTAGTGAAATATTCAGCTGAAAATGGTAATCGAGCAGCAGAATGAAAGTTTGGAGGGAGCGAGAAACTTGTGAGGGAAAGCAGGGATGGAGAACACAGCTTCATGGTAACCAGGAGGGTGCACCATGCAATTTTCCTGGAAGTCACTGGATGGATTGACAAAACATGAGCTTCAATGACAAATGAAACCATCCTGTCGGGATTCAGAAAGGCCAGAATAATTCTAAGTGGCACTGATGCTGAGTCTGACGACAGCTACACAGAAGAAAAAGCAGCACTCCTTTTACCTCTGGAGAAGTTCAGAAGTGACACTGAGAATGAAGAATTCAATGGATTTAGTGATTTGGAGTGAGATGGAGAGTTTGGTAAACTTGTTCTGTTTTGTTGTTTATGCTATAGTTATCTGAAAACTGTTCATATGTGACGTTAACAGTCTGTTGTTCTCTGTTCTATTGTTACTACTAGAGCGCGACTTTCAAGATGAAAAGTCTGTTCTTGGGCTCTGATTTTATAAAATAAATTTTCCCCAAATAGTGCGACTTATATTCCGGTGTGACTTATATATGTTTTTTTCTACTTCATTACGTATTTTTTGGCTGGTGCAACTTATATTCCGAATACAGTACTTTATTTGGTCATTTCATTTCAACTGCAATTTTGTATATACATATTTGTTTCTCTTCATAGACCACATGCATATTTTAATTTAGCAAATCTTGAAAACAGCTACTTTAAAGGTGAATTGTGTAACTTTTCTGGTGGAGAGTCCATCAAATGCTTTTTTTCTCCACGGAGACATCATTGCTTTCCCTGGATTGTTCCACGGTATGACATTAAACATATCCAGATAGCATTTACTCATTATGGTTGTTTCTGTTGCTCAAAAATACACAAATTCCTTCTGTGAATAGGGACGACTCTCCACAGATCTGACTTGTAATGTAGCATGGTACAGTAACCTGGTTGCCTCCCTTGTGATAGACAGGTTTAATCTATACTGTGGAACTTTCTAGACAAAGCAATTGCATTTCTGTGGAGACAAACAGGTGGCGGACCCTCCTGTAGAAATGTTACGCAGTGCACCTTTAACATTATCTGGTTAAATAGATTATACATTTCCCTTTAGTTCAGTTCTACTGCAGACAAACCCACACACAAACAATAATTTTCCATTTTTGTTCTTAAAGTGCCACTATTACTGACATTTGCTGGTGTTTTTGAGTTGGAAATATGATAAACATCAGCTGCAGCAGAAGAAAAACTGGCAGAGGTCTGCTCAGAGTTACGTCATTTGAACTGCGCTAGGCTCTCTGTGCGTTTATACACTGTCACAGGAAGTGGCTCATCAAAGGGAACCGCAACAAAGAAAAACTCTATATTCACACAGAGCTAACTGTGCAACAGTCAACTTAGTATGCATTCAAATATAGTCGGCCAAAATAACTCAAGCAGCTACTTCTTATATGAAAGAGTTATTACCGGTAATTTAACTTCACAATGTTTGGCAGTTGATTAGAACATGTTTAAAAGTCCTATAGCAGTGTTTCCCAAACTTTTTTTCTGGGGACCCATATTTTAAAAGTCACAAACTTTCACGACCCAAGTGAACAGACATTATAAACCACAAGATAAAGGATGGATTTGAGCATTATTGAACATTAATGAAGATATTTTATTGTTGACTGAACGATCGTGTCTCTCTGAACAATTAGGATTACTCAAGTTTTAAACAATGAAAAAAACAAACAAAAAAACAATAAAAGGATCCATATGTTGCCTATTTGGACATTAAATGCAGCCCATTTCTTTTTCTTTTTAACATTCAACTGAGCCAGTAACATTAGAACAAAATAGTCAATAAAATATTTGCAAAAAAGATTAGAAATTATACAAAACATGTCTTATCATTTCAACATTTCTAATGACATAGTTGGGCGTGTCTGTATTTTTGTAGTGTGTTCCAGTCCGGGTGCAGGAGGAGAGCGCAGCAGCAGATCACACGCAGCATTTAGTCTGTTTCTGTGCTTTGTCTTCTTTTTTGTGAGCCAGAAAATCCAAATTCACACACAAATAAAGAGAAGTGAAAGGGATAAGCACAGAAACACTGGCCCTACTGAGGACAGGGTATTCTGATGAAATGCTCATCCAGAGTGGCAATAAGGTCACAGATCCATGTGTACAACTGTATACTGCAGACCTACATGCAGATCGTGACAAGGCGACCCAGAAAAATTCTCTTGCATCCCACCTCAGGGTCATGACCCAGTCTTTGGGAAACAATGCCCTATAGCACTAAATACGTAGGCTTTGTGTTTTAAACGTGTGAATAAAACGACACACAACTCCAGACATAAGAGGTCACCATGGGGATCACAGGTCTAACGTACTACAAAGTCTCCCAATCTGATCCACTCTATGTAAAGGTGCACTACGTAACTTTTCTGATGCCACATGCTTGTCTTCACAGAGTTATCGCTTTGCTTGCGATTCCATATTTTTGCCATTAAACTTTGCGGACATGTGAGCCCACTCAAGCAAAAATGCATGTTTTTGAGCAACAAAACAGGTCACATTTTTCTATAACGCTTTTCCACCTTCAAGGCACTCAAAGCGCTTTACAACAAGGAACCACTCACCCATTCACACACACATTCACACAACAGTGTACGCAGACACTGTGGGCAAGGTGGGTTAAGTGTCTTGCCCAAGGACACAACGACAGCATTCATCTGTGGGAGCTGGAATCACGCCAGCCAACCTGTGGGTCAGTGGGCGAATGCTCTACCAACTGAGCTACTGCTGCCCCAACTGAGCTACTGCCGCCCCAAAATGTAAATGTAATGTAAATGTAAAATGCCATTTTGCGGAACATTCCAGGCAATTACACCTACAACAAGGCAGCACCACCCCCACCAGTAAAGTTACATAAAGTGCACTTTTAAAGCCTTTATAGAACACTGTACCAACACAACGTAACTTGTATGAAGTAAACACAAGTTAAGCATATTCAATAATGTAAAATGCAAATTAAAATAAATAAATATTCAATAAAATACATAGCACAAAACCCTCATGTGCAAGCCCCTTATAAAAGCTATAGACCCACTTTACACCCACACCAAATTCAACTAATATGAGTCAGACAATGATTTGCTGTGTCAGTGTAAACCCCAAGTCATATCTATTACGGTCATGTTACAATGATGGGAAGTTACAATTAAACAGACATTTGGTATAATTTTGTGAAATTATAACTTACTTAAACTAGTCCAAAACAGTGTGCCCTCTTAGCTGAAAACAAGTCCACGCGTCTGTCAGGGTAATATTTTAAATGGTGTACATTCTGGTTTTTCTACTCACGTTCTTCGCTCAGAGCTGGTCTAACTGGCTGCTGGTTGTTTATCAAGATTGAAAGTACTTCTGCATTTAACCCTGAAATATTCTGCAGTAATCTCAAGATGACCAATAAAAAGGAACTGCAATATTTTCATGCAACGTGCGACATGGGATGTGCAACGGGCCAACGCTTTCTATGTGGTCAGCGTCCTTTCAGTTTTGTATTAAGGGTATTTACAAAGGAATGTAAGAATAGCAGTGCTGGATGACCATTTTGTTACTAAAATAAAAGTACAGATACCAGGGCAAAAGAATACTCAAGTAAAAACATGAGTAGACATATTAAAATACCTGTGTAAAAAGTCTAGTATTTTGCAGAGAGGTTTAGAACAATTACAGGATGAAATATATTGATTTTGATAATGAATAAAGCAGATTTTAAGTAACTCAGTTGATTTGTAAATTTTTGTGCTCAAAGTTGAGACATTAACTCAAATTAAATGTGCTAAAAATAAGTCTCAGTCCTTTCAGCAGGTCTACTATTCAGTGCTAAAATGTAGTGGAGTAGAAAGTACAGATATCTGCTCTCAAATACAGTGAAGTAAACGTAAAAAATATCCACTATAAAATGTACTTAAGCACAGTACAGACACCTAAAAGTAATGTACCCTTACTCTTGTGATTCATTACCTTCCACCACTGACCAATAGGGTTAACACATGTCTTAAGAAAGTTATGCACAATGTTGAGTTAAAGATATACAAACCTGTTTTTTGCAATACTAAGTAGTTCAGTCATCTAATCCAGTAATTAAATTCCACTTTTGTGTCATATACTATAAGGTAAGTGTTGCCATAAACTAAAGCCAGAATTTAAAGCTGATTTGCATAAAGGCCTATGTGCAAATGTTGTCACAATAGAATCACAGCTTCTACATCTACAAGTAAAAAAAAAAAATCAAATAAAGTTATAGATAAAGGCCCTGTATTGTGTATTTGAGTAAAAAGTGCCTTGCCCCAGTACAGATATATTGTAGAAGCCGCTCATGAGGTCAAAATATGTCTGGTTTGTACTGCATTCAATTATAAAGCACTTTATTTTTGGATAATCAGGAAGTAAATAAGTCAGGTTTTATTTATATTGCTCTTTTCACAAACATATGTCACAAACAGATCATTATTCATTCAATCAACACTCGGTGGTGGTAAACTACTATTGTAGCCACAGCCGCCCTGGGGCAGACTGACAGAAGCCTGGCTGCCAATCTGTGCCATCAGCTCCTCTGACCAACAACATCACTCATGCACACACCACTTTCACACTAGGCAATGTGGGTGAAGTGCCTTGCCTAAGGACACAACGACAGTTTTTGTGAATTGTAAATCTGTCTGCATCTCCAAAGCTCAAACGGCTCTGTTCCACCTTGTGATGTCAAGAAGCGGTGGTTTTCAAATTAACAGCTACTTTTTACGTTTAGTTCAGTAGAGATTGTTTATTCCAGGGCTAAAATTATCCAAATGATTCTAGTGAAGGTGTGTGGAGTTCTGTTTGAGAGAAGAACTCAGCCCAAATTTGCAGGATCAAATCAAATGTGTGAATGAAAAAAAAAACACAACTCCATTTATGTTTGTGATGAGGAAACAACATCGTGACATAGATTAGAAAATACAGAAAATATAATATAATATGAATACATGAAGTGAATACATGATTTTACCCCAGTTGGTGCCCCGCTGAGAGCTGCTTGTGCCTCCTCTTTGCTCCATGGTTCTTTGGGACACCAGGCCTCCTCACACCCCCTCAGACGCTCCAGGAGGGTCAGTCTTTTCCTGCTGCTCCTCCACGGGATCGCTGTGGTCCCGTTAACTGGACTGTGAACTGCCCTGCACACATACATTAACACGTGTAGACATGAATGTAAGGGTATGTTGGCAGTTACAATCAGTGGTGGATGAAGTACTCAATTTTGTTACTTAAGCAAAAGTAAAGATATAGAGGCAAAAAATTACTCAAGTATCACATGAAATAATCTACTTAAGTAAAAGTATTAAAGTAGCTGTTGTTAGTGGAGTACATAAATACAGATACCTGCTCTCAAATGTAGTGAAGTAAAGGTCTAACAAAGAACTATACCAGGTCTAAAACAGGACTATACCAGATCTAAACCAGGAATATACCAGCTCTAAACCAGGTCTATACCAGGTCTAAAATAGGACTATACCAGGTCTAAAACAGGACTATGCCAGGTCTAAAAAGGGACTATATCAGGTCTAAAACAGGACTATACCAGGTCTAAAACAGGACTATGCCAGGTCTAAAAAGGGACTATATCAGGTCTAAAACAGGACTATACCAGATCTAAAACTGGACTATATGAGATCTAAAACAGGACTATACCAGATCTAAAATGGGACTATACCAGGTCTAAACCACATCTATACCAGGTCTAAAACAGGACTATACCAGATCTAAAATAGGACTATACCACGTCTAAAACAGGGCTATACCCGGTCTAAACCACATCTATACCAGATCTAAAATAGGACTATACCAGGCCTAAAACAGGACTATACCAGATCTAAAATAGAACTATATCAGGTCTAAAACAGGATTATACCAGGTCTAAAACAGGACTATACCAGGTCTAACTTAAGTCTAAAACAGGACTATACAAAGGGTCTAAACCAAGTATAAAACAGGACTATACCAGGTCTAAGATAAATTTAACACAGGATTAAACCAGATCTAAAACAAGACTATACCAGGTTTCAACCAAGACTATCCCAGGTCTAAAATAGGACTATCCCAGGTCTAAAACAGGACTACAGCTTGACTTGAGCAGTTTTAAGGAGATAATAGTAATGAATCAGCAACAATGATATAAGTGAGAAAATTGTCATGGAAAGTCTAACTCCAGAAACAGTGTCTGCAGTTGAAATTACTACAGCTTCCAGTAGTATCAGCTGCTCACACAGTACACCTCATCATTGCATTGTAAACATTAAACAATAGCTGTGTACTTACATAGTATTCCACGTCAGCCTGTTGTGCTCTTTTTAACAGACGCGCGTTTCCCCATGTGTCGTAATGTAACTGCCACCGAGCTGAAGTTGCTAAATGCTTCAAATACAAACAGGTCTAAAATAGGAAGCTCCCATACTGCATGTGCAAGCCATTTCCTCAAATCAACTGTAGTAAATTGTTACAAACTAAAGAAAATTGCAGTAGTCCTGTTGGTATCCTGATGACATTTGACGCACTTTCAGTTCTTTGAGTAGACCCCTGCACCTCCTCCCCCCGGGGCTCCTGTGGTTAAACCTGTGTCTATGTCTGCAAGGCATGAAAAAGAAAGACCTCCTAGATTAGAAACTTGCATTCTTGTATTGTTAACTCATATTTTTTGCATCATACTACATACTGGAGACTGCAGGTTTAAAAATTGTCACCAAAACCATCTCAGAAATTATGGTTCTTAAGTAAATTTGGTAGAAGACTTCATATGTTAAAAGTACACATGTGACATTTGCCTGGAATGCTGCACACTATCAATACTTTGCAGTGACATCACACTGGGGATGTTCTGCATGTTTCTTTATGGAGGAATGTTCAGCAGTTACCATGGTGACACGATGCACACATTAGGAAACATTTTTAATAGCAGAGGTGGGACCAAGTCATTGTTTTGCAAGTCTCAAGTCCAAGTCAAGTACTGGCAAGTCCAAGTCGAGTCTCGAGTCACTGACCCATAAGTCCAAGTCTTGTCCAAGTCGCCTGCTTTGAGCTTCAAGTCATTTCATGTCTTGTGTCATGTCAGATAAATTGTATTTAAAAAAATCCTAGTATATTTATATATGAGTAGTTACTGTATAAGAGTTGTAGAAATTAATTTAGTTAATTTTTCCTTTTTAAATCGACATGACATTGACAAAATCTTAATGCTAATCATTATGGTCAGTACAGAAAGAATTCAGATATAAAAGTCCGACTCAAGTCTTCTCAAGTCACAGACCTCAAGTCCGACTCAAGTCCCAAGTCACTGACCTTCAAGTCCAAGTTGAGTCCCAAGTGTTAGTCAATTTTATCAAGTCAAGTCCTAAAAATAGTGACTCAAGTCTGACTTGAGTCCAAGTCACGACTTGCAAGTCCCCACCTCTGTTTAATATAGTCTGAAAACTTAAAAAAAAATACAACATGAATTTAAACAATACATTTTCAGGGCTTTGTGATCAATACGAGCCTTCATGGTGCTTTGGTTTTCATCAAAAAATATGTGAGTGATTTCTGGTCAAATTGTGTTAAAATAAATTTAGTCTAACTTGAATAAAAGAGCTTCAGACAAAACAGTGCCTACAGTGCATCAGCTTCAAAGTATCAATACTATTAAACTTACCTTTCTTGCATTTGTTCAGTTGCGTGTGTTATGCTCACACCTTCTAAACAACGTCTAAAAATAAAACTAAAGCAGAATTAAATATGTCACGAATTAGTTTTAACTGTATGGTTAGATCAGTGCATCAAATACAAATTGTGAGCTTCTCATTTCCTCCATAGCCTCTTTGGACTTTTGACGGAAACCACTGCAAGAAGTGTTATAAGTGGTCATTCTTCACCACCAAAAAGCCTTCTGACTTCACTGTTCTCTAATGAAAATGAAAACAAGAAAAAATTCACATTAAAGTGTAGGTTTTCAGAAAAATAAGTTGCAATCTCTCTATCTCTCGATTTATCTAGCTATTTACACTGCAAAAAAGCTTGGCCAAAATTTAAGACATAAACATTTCAATCTATCAGAAAATGACTTTAAAGTAGTGAAAGTATCTGTCCATGCAGCAAGATCATTTTACTTGACAAGTTATCTTAAAACAAACTACCTCTAGACTAGACTAAGCAATCTCTGGTCAAGTAAGTAGATAATAAATCTGAAAACATGATGAATAACCTGATATAAGTTTTAAAATCTTGACCAGATCAGATAAATTTCCAGTGTATCCATCTGTCTATAAGTTGCACTGATTGGTATAACATATTTGCTACTTATTATCACCAAAATCAGTCACTGTTTATGGTTAGTAACAATGGACTAACAGAATAGTATTGTATGCCGTTTGTCTTGTCATTTTCGGATATTTTCTGATCTCTGTTATCATGTTGTTTCCTGTTTTGTTTAATTTGCATGTTTAACACGCAAACCGTGCATGTTTAGGCTGAGTTCTTCTCTAAAATTGAAAATATAGGAAGTGCTTCACTGTGTTTTTTCACTCCACCCACTTTCACTAGAATCATTTGGATAATTTCAGCCCTGGAATTGCCAATGTCTGCCGAACTAAAAGTAAAAGGTAGCTATTAACTTGAAAACTACCACTATATGACATCACAAGGTGGAACAGAGCATTTTGAGCTTTAGAGAAGTAGACAGACTACACACAAAAAAAAAACAAAAAACAAAACAAAAAAGGATTACTCAGGCATGTGTGAATGAAACAAAACACAACTTCAGGTATGATTTTGATGAGGTAACATTATAAAATGGCTCAAAGTTCACAAGAGTCAATTTTGTGTAATATTAAAGTCAAGTCAAGAATTTGCATTTGATAAGATACAGTGGCAAGGTTTACATGCAGACAAAAACCTGCCCATTATCTGATTTCTGAACATTATCAGATTATCAAATGTCTTGTTAACAGATGATGAGGTGAATGACCTGCTTTCATTCTGACTGTTCACACATGGGCAGGTTTTACAGTCAAATAAACTTGCCAGGGTTTCTCAAGAGAAATGAATCAAAAAAGGGTCAAACTAAAAGAGAAAATGAAAGTTATTTTAGAATGCATGTACTTTGCTTTTCAAATACAACTTTTAGTTTAACTGACATGGCATCAGGTGTCAGATTGTGCATGTCTCTTGTGCATGTAAACACAGAACAGAAATCAAATATTGGGTTATCTGCTTATGCTTGCTGTCTGATTGTACTGGCCATGCGATGTACACAATGACTGTGGTTACATGCAAACTCAAAATCAGTTTATTAGCATTTTTGAGGTAACAGAGTCTTCAAAAGTGAAATGTAAACACTAAAAATACCTGCATCAAATTGTGCAGTTTGCATGTTCTCATTAATTTACATTTATATTAAAGTTTGAAAGCTTGCTCAGAACTATGTAGTAACTACTGAATCACAAAACCTATATATATTTTTATATCTGTTTCTGAAACATTATAAACCACAAATGTATTAAAACATGGATATTAGTTAGCACCTACAGTCAAGCCCAAAAGTATTCATACCCCTGATGAATTTTGACTTAAAGTTGCTTGTATTCAACCAGCAAGTTTTTTCTTGATTGGAAACGACACAGACGTCTCCCAGGAGATAATAAGACGATGTGGCATCATTGTGGGAAAAAAAAATAAAAATCTTAGCTTTTATTTACATTTGAACAAAAAGTGGAAAGTCCAAAATTATTCATACCCTTTGGATTTTTCCATAGACTGACAGTTTACAAAGTTCTATACTTTTCCAAACAGCAGAAGCTGTTCTAAAACTTCCTAATTACCGATTCATTGGGAAGAGCTGTTGTAACCGAACAGGTGAAAAGCAGCAGGTCTTTGCAGTTGGTTTGTGAACAGTCATGGCTAAGACAAATGAGCTCTCTGAGGATCTACAGCTGTATATTGTGGCTGCTTACAAGTCAGAAAAGGGCTATAAGGCCATATCTAAATGTTTTCAAGTTCCAGTGGCGATAAGTGCAAAGAATTATTAAAAAATACAAGACGTTCCACACTGTGGAAAATCTCAGAGGACGTGGTCGGAAGCCAAAAGTGACATCTGTGCTGGCCAGGAGGATAGTGAGAGGTGAAAAAGAATCCACAGATCACTACCAAGGCCATCCAGGTGAATCTGGGCTCTGCTGAGAGCAACATCTCTAGGCAGACAATCCAACAGACACTACATACTGCTGGGTTCCACAGACACAGACCAAGGAGGACGCCACTTCTCAAGATAAGGCACACAAAAGCCCGTTTAGCCCTTGCAAATGCTCATCTGGACAAAGAAGAAGACTTTTGGTCTTCGGTTTTATGGTCAGACGAAACAAAAATTGAATTGTTTGGCCACAATGATGTATCCTTCAATTGGCGTAAAAAAGGAGAAGCCTTCAACCCTAAGAACACCATCCCCACTGTCAAACACGGTGGTGGGAACCTAATGGGCCGGGGAGTCTAATCACAGTAAACTATACCATGAACACAGAGCAATACGTCAAGATTCTCAACAACAGGAGTAGGTGCAGCTGTGGACCTCCATAATGCTGTGCCTGATGTTTAAAACCTATTAATAAACAATGAGAAATAAAAACGTTACAAGCTTTAAAAACATTTATTGCATGATGTATGAAGACTGAGCTATTTTCTTGCTTTTTTTTTTTTTTTTTTTTTTTTAAACACAGTGATCATTCCTTACACAACCTTTTGTAAGTTCCAGTAAGCTCCACTGCAATAAGTAGGAAAAATTAAGAACTCAATTACAAAATGTGGAAAAAATTAAGATAAGATAATGCTTAAAACATTGTACAATTGAAAAATACAAGAAAGAAGAATTTGCAAATGCATTAACTTAAAGAAAATATGTTTTTTTGGGATCAGAGTGGATATAATTATAATGCTAGGACTGTATTGATGCATAGTAATGTCTATGCTAAATAAATATGGACAATTAAACTGCAAAAACAATTAAAAATCATAGTTAATTTAAGAAAATGCCACAAGGGGCAAGTTGTAGTTACCTGTGCACAAGATAAAGGATCATTCTGACCCATACAGTTTGGTTTAATGCAAATATGGATGTTAATTAGCAAAATGAATAAAGTGCTATTATGAAAAAACAAACAAACAAAAAACTGCCTGATATTCACAAGACATATCTGCACGCCCCATTAATGAATTACATATCCCTTGTTAGATTATCCCAAGGGCTAAAATCACTCCAATACAGTAAAATTAGGATGTATTTGTAATAAAAGACTTTATTCTTCCTTCTTAGTTTCTGGTGTGGGGCTTGCCTTCGCACTGGCTCCTTTGCTCTCACTCTCTGTTTTCTTCTTGTCTTCGGCGTCAATCCGAGCGTGCTCCTTTTTCACCAGCTCCTCCAACTCAACCTAAAAGGACAGAATAATAGAACGTTAAAACCACATTTAGGAAAAAAATTAATTAACTACAACAACAGTATGTAAAAAATATACAATTCAATGTCCTATAATGCACAAAATAAATTCTTGAGAGCTTCAAGTCATGATGTTACCTCCAAAAACCATACCTAGAGTTGTGTTTTGTTTCATGTTTGAGCATTTATTATTAGTCTGTCAACATCTCCAAAGCTCAAAAATATACAACTCTGAGTATGTTTTTGATGAGAAAACAACATTCAGATCAGACATATTTCAACATATATTTTCACCTATATGTTTTCTCTTATATTTTATTATTCGATGCACTTAAAGGTGCAGCATAACTTTCTGGAGGCAGTACACAACTCCATGGAAAAGTAAGTAAGTTAAGTTAAGTTAAGTAAGTTCCAGTAAGAGTCTTTCTGAGCAAAAATGAAGAAAAAAAAAGCTTTTATTTAAGGCTTATTATAAAGTTCTTCATGGTTCCGAGGCCTTAAATAAGTAACATTCAAACAGAGCTGATTCAACGCAGACTTTTTAGCACATCTGTGCACAGTGAACACTTGTACTACACAAACAGTGTCACACAGGAAAATGATAGTCTCCAGCCTGTTTTAAAAACTCTTTTCACTCACACCTTTTGCAAGATGTGAGTTTATGACAACAGTGTGTCTACTCATCTTAAAACTTTATTAACTGGTCAAGCATCTTAACTGAAAGCAGTTTTATGGGCTGCTATGACTACCATATTGTCATGTATGTAGCTACAGTAATTGTGTGTTATATTTTCACAAAAATACAGAACGTCTGTATTTTAACGGTTTGCTATGAGGAACTTTCTAACTTAATTATCTATAAAAGGTGCTACATATATACTTCAGTTTAGTTTATTGGCTTATTTTAACAGGGACCATGTGCAAACACAGTCAACTCACAAAAGAAGATTTACACCAGATTTAGTTAAAGCTACTTTCCATCTGCAGCTCCTGTGTAGGTTAACAAACAAAAAATACACCCAAGCATTCATTTAAAATCAAACCTGCATTTTCCCACTCTTTCATTAAAAACATCACACTCCACATTGTTGACAGAGCTGACTCTCTAAAAGGACTTTTCTAAAATTATACTGTATATGCTTGTCTCCATAAACATAGATATGTGTAATGCCACACTGTGTAGCATTACAGGCAAAGCAACAGCATCTCCACAGAGACAAGTAGGCAGTGGACCCTTCACCAGAAAAGCTGCATAGATACAATAAAAACTCCAAGGATATATGTTTTAATATTGAGGTAAATGTGGATTTATTTTATTTTCGTTTATTTTGATATTTGAATAGGTGAAAGAACATATATTCTCACCTTCCACCCGAGCAGATCTGCCAGAGCCAGACAGCCATCGTCACAGGTGCTGATGTGAGCTACATCTCTGGAGGAAAAACAATACAAAATACATGAGCTTTTATCATCAGGGGTCACAGTTGTATGGTGATTTGACATATGGTGATGTGACACATTGATATAGGTTTGATATTGGTGATTATTACATGAGATGCCCTTCCTGTCATATCCAGCCAAAGCATTAAGATTTGTTCACATTTTATATCATAATATAGGGAGATGGATAAATATTTAGGTAAACATTCATTCTGTTATACATTGCACATTACCTGTAAGCTTTATCAGAGTCAAAATCCATTCCTCCTCCAAAACCAAGCATGCCTAACATGGGATCCACCTGCAAAAGAAATTAAATATGTTATTATCACTTATTACGTACAATATGATGTTGAAGAATACACTTGGGTTTACCTGGCCTGTTTTCTCCATGTTAATGAGCAATCTGGGGCAGTTTCTTGAAACTCTGGATATAACAAAAACAAAGTGTGAATGTCAACCAATCAATTAAACAATCGACTATAAACATACTACATATATAAATATGAAATTACTTGCTGACTAGACTTGCGAATGGCTGCACTTGCAGAGATGTTCCCATGACGATTAAAAGATCACAGCGTGGAAAGTCCTGAGGAAAAGGTGTTATTAGAACTAAACCAAGTAAAAAAAATAAAAAATAATAATAATAATAATGATGATAATACAGAAATGAAATGGCTACCATCTTCATAGATGTGAAGAACCGGACAGGCAAATTCTCTCCAAAGAAGACAATATCTGAAATAAACAGGAAAACTCACTAAAATAAAAACTATTATTATATATGCATTTTTGATCCATATTAAAAGGTGCACCATGTAACTTTTCAGGTGGAAGGTGGTCCATCTGCATGTGCATGGTGTTAAACTTTATTCAGAACAGTAGTTTTATTGCTCAAAACAAGTAGTCTTGCAGTGAGTAGATCTGTTGGCAAGCCCGTCAATATCCCTCAAGAAATTTGGGGGCCCGGGACAAAAAGGCTCACATGGGCCCCCCTGTAATATAAATTAATAGTGAGCATGTCCAATTCTGGGCTCCTAAACCCTGGGACCCAGGACAACAGACCCCTTTGTCCCTCCCTCTTTACTGCCCTGTCTGTTGGCTAAAATTTCCACGGAGACAAGCATTTACAAGTAACATTGTACACCTTAAAAGTAACTTAATTTGACCTAAAAAAAAATAAAATAAAAAAAAAGAGCATAATACCGACCTGGCTTCACTAAACTGCTGCATTTTTCACATTTCGGAATGTCATCAGCGAAGATTTTCTCTGCAAAAAAACAAGACAATTTAAACTGTACTGGCAAGTGTAAAACTTTTTTTAGTCTTTGGTTCAGCAAAACTTGAATTTCCCTGGGGATCAAGAGTATCTGTCTGTCTGTCTAATAACTAATACTATATTAGTGTATAATGTATGACCTCCGTATCTTACCTTTCATCCAGTCGAGGTTGTACTCTTTCCGGCAGCAGAAGCTCACACAGTGCGATGTGTAGAAAGTGCCATGGGCCTCAATCAGGTCATCTCCCTCCAGACCAGCCACACGCTCCAGAGTATCTATGTTCTACAAGAGAAACAAAACATGTACAATAATGTAGATAACAAGCTAACAATGTTGTGTAGGAGCAGTGTAGATCGGCAAAAGCATTATCACCTGTGTGTAGCAGCGCTTTAAAAGCCCTTTGTCCTTGAGCAGCTTCATGAAGTAGTGGCAGATGGTTGGCTATTGTCAAATGGGTGAAGACAATAAAGTAAGAGGGTTTATTTTAGTGTATTTTTATGATTAAAAAGTTTAAAAAGATTGCTGTACCTTAAACTGTCCAGGATACAGCTCTTTGGCCAAGGCAAAAAATGGTTCTGGATGTTGCTAAAAATATTTAAAGAAAAAGTGTGAAATTTAAAAAATAAACAAATGTATTACATTTAAACCATCAAACACTTCAGACAAACCTTAAAATAATCAATCTGGAAAATTGCTTCTGGGTAAGGCAGATTATATTTCTGCAAATTGGCGTATAAGCCTGTTCCTGGAGATCGGAAATCAGGAATTCCAGCCGCTGTCAACAGAGAAACAAAAACAGTGTGAAAAACTATTCTTGTCAATATAGCAAAAGAACAGATATACTTATACTTACATGTGGATATTCCAGCTCCAACCATGCAAATTATATTTTTACCTAAACCACAAAAAGTAGAAAATGAGCACTTAGAAAACAAAAAAAAAATCAAAAATGCGAAAAAGAAAAGAACAACGTATGTAGTTAATGAAAGCTCACATTTTCCACTCAGCATGTATTTTGCCACTCCATCCAGAGTTAGCTCATCCAGGACTTTCTCTCCAGAACCTGACCCGAAACCCAAGGCACTGGAGAAGAGGTTACGCAGGAAGTCCACTGAAAGAACCAGTCAGAATTTAGACAAATATAAAACAAACCTGAAGCAAATATAATTTATTTTCTATTCCGTTACTAACTTTCTCCAGGTGTCTCTTCCTCACTGCTGTCGTCCTCTGAGTCTTCCTACAAAAATAAGACCTTAATCAGCTGCCACAACATGAACAACCTGTCCTGATGTAAAAAAAAAAAAAAAAAAAAAAAAAAAAAAAAGAATAACCATATTGCAGCAGTATCACTCTCCCACAAATTCACTCAAGCTGACTCACTGTACCAGATGTAATCACCCCGAAGTACTGGACCTTAAAACCCAACATTATAAAATCAGTTAAAAAAAAAAACCTTCCAAAAACCTGTACCAGAATGTAATCAACTACTAACTGAAGTGGTTTTAAGCTAAATTTTAAGTCCTGTGTCCCCTGTCTCAGCATATTTATCCAAAACCAATTATTTGTTCCAGTTTTATACAAGAAATGTCCTAAGTGTCCCAATTTTTGACCAATCTGATCCCTGCCACCAGTAAAGACAGGCATGCATTGTATTTTGTTTAGGCAAAATACAGAAAAGCTGCTGATGACCAAAAGACAAAGAAAATGTGACAGTACTGACACATGTTAGTCATGAATGGGCCGAGTGCAGAACAGTTTTCCTTAATTACGCACTCGATTTCCACCACAAAGCAGGGGTGTCCCAGTGTTTTATTTAGTTTTTATTTTGAAACTCTGGTCACTCTATTTTAAGCCTGACTTTGCTCATCTTTAAGAGTCGTCTGGCAAAACTTTACCATTATAATCATGCACGCTCTCCCTTCATCAGCAGGATATCCATTTGGACCAGAACCAATACCATATATTTTTACACGTAATAAAAGACAAGTGTGCACTTGTGTTGAGTAACAACTCCCTTTTCTTATTTTATTGGTTAGCAAATTATTATTATTACTATTATTATAATTTTTTTTTTAAACAATAATTTATTGCCTTTTTTAACAAAACAGAACAGTACAATCCAGCACAGCATAATCTGCATAAAACTAAACAGACAAAGATTGTCGCAAAGTCTGAGACAGAGCTAAAATGACAGAGAAACACACATTGTACAATTATTGATTAAAATAAAAAATTAAATGGGAGTCTCCTTTATGAAGCACATCAACCAAGTCCTGAAGTAGATGGTCCAAAAAGGGTTGCCATATTTTATAGAAAGTGTCTGAATTGCCATTGTGTAACAGATGGAGGTTGTGCCTGTATCTACCGAAGCATGATGCATTTCCCCGTCAGGTGAAAAGTTGACGTAGTAATATGCAAATTTTAAATTTTATTCTAATTTTAAACCAATCACTTCTGTCAAGAATCTGCCAAGTTGTTCAGCTTGAACACTTAAAAAGCAAAGTCCACAAACCCCGCCCACTAAAATGCTGTCTCAGATATCTATAATACAGTATAATTTTGTGTTAACTTGCCTCTGCTTGTGGTGGGTCCTCCTCTTCTTCTTCTTTACTTTTAGAGGGTTCTAGAAATGGACATTTAACACGTAAATGTATGTGAGGTTTTACAAAAACTACGATTAGCAGCGAGGCTAACGAGACAGCGCTAGGAACGCAAATCAAATGATGAAAATGATCGAACTTTAAAGGTGACAATGATTTTACCTTGTGCATCAGACATTTATTCGTCTACGGGACCCTCCTGGTACAAGAGTCCAAAGGATAATAATGCTGAATTTGGAGGATTTGGGATTTTACAAATAATCCACACACACAACTACAAGCGCTCAGCTGATACGTGTTGTTGTGGTCCGTCAGAAAAAAATGTCCGCAGTGTTGTCGTGACCTAGTTACAACAGAAGTTGGTTCCTAAGTCTGTTTTATTGTGTAAAATAAAAAAAATAAAAAAATAAAATAAAAATCTATGTTAAAAGAACTGAAGTTTTATTAACAATAGATTTGAAATTATGATAAAGACCTGAAACCCTATATTCAAGAACTATAAACACTTCAAAAGTTTTTTTTTTTTTTAAGAATTCAATACGTTTTGCCTTTCTATCAATTTATCTTTTTATCTATTATAGATGTATTATGCCTCTATCTATCTATGATAGATATCTATTTTATCTTTAATATACAATTAAATAAATAATGAGATACACAATAAGATACATACCTGAGCATAAGTAGGTCCATCTTTTTCATTAGCAACAGTCTTGACACAACAACAGTACTCCAGGCTCAAGGTGGATTATGGCTCAAAGAAGATTTCACACTCTTCAAGATGGCAGATACATACCATCAGACATTTAACATGGTACCTATTATCATTTTATTATAAAACAAAACAAAACCAAAAAGACAACCTAAATTTGAATAAAAGAGCATTTATTTATAGTTACAATATAATCACAATTACTATCATATGTACATGTTTAACTTAAAATACACCTCCCTTAAATACACAAAAAATTGTAAATATTTTTGAAAAAATTATATATATACATATTTGTTTATAATTACGCACTTCATTTTGAATTACAATACTGACAGACTTTCACCTGGTATTGAGTTAATATAAACATTTCATGTGTATAGTAAGATGCACCTTTATTCCATGTGGATTTTGGTTGGCTCTAGCTTTTCCACTTATCTAGTATGTAATCATTTACATAATTATAAATATTATCAATGCATGCATTGTTTGCAATCAAAATTGAGCGTATAAAATTTGTCACCATCCCTTTTTCTGTATTTCCCCTTTCTCTACCTATGCATCTCCTCTCTGTGTCCCTCTTCTTCCTCTTTTGGTGGTAAATCAAATTGATACCCATCTGCAATTACGTGGCACTTTGGCAACATCTCCTCGAGCAGAATCACCACCAAGCCAGGGTTAGCGATACCAGGAAGTGAAGACACATCTAAGCGCTTCAAACCCCTGAAAACATACAAAACAAAATTAGATTAACATAATAACAAATGTAATACTTAGGTTTTGGGAAATATACTGTATAGTACTGTGTAAAAGTGACAGTTCTAAATGAAGGCTAGCAAATCAGATATGTGTATAATGTATCCTTTATTTATTTATTGTTAAATATTCAAACTTGAGTTTCTTTTAGTTCAAGATTAAATATCCTGTGCTTTGCTTTCTGTGAACTAAGTAAACTAATATGTAATAATGGTCAATGTTCCCTTTAATGACGACTTAGGGGGTTCAAATCCTGAGCTAAAATCCTTGCAAAAATGTTATTTAATCTTTGATGTCTCTTATCTAACAGTCTAAATTTAATATTTTATATAGCATTCGTACTTAATAGCAATTTCCAATCAGAGTCAAACTTTTGCACAGTACTGTAAGTAGCGGTGTGAGTCTATTCAAAATGTAATTTAAGTAACTATACGTAATAAATGAATCCCTTTGAATTCTGATGTTTGATGAGCCTATTCCATAACTGTGCATTATTATGATTTCCCCATTAAAGAGTACTCTTTTATAACACACATAAGCATGTACCAAAAACAATGTGCTTATAGACTAATTGCAACATGGTGTATTAATAGCGAACAGTTGTCATACTTGAGATTCCTGAGAGCGGGTAAACCTCCTGTTGTGATCCTTGGACAGTGGGAGATGTCCAACTCTTCTAAAGAATCTTGAAAAACATGAAGTCTGGACAGAAACCAATCATCGACTTCAGGACAAGCCTTTAACGACAGAGTCCGCAATGATTTCTGCTCATCTGAAAAAAAGGAAAGAAGTAATTTATTGAACTGCTTAGACAATTTAAGAGGTGGTGTGTAATGAATGTAAGGTACCAAAGTTTCCTAGTCCATCATAGTTGATCACTGTGTAGCTCAAATCTATCTCCTCTAGGGGGCAGTCTTTGTGATTAAGGAAGTCCCAATTGAATTTCTCTGCATGGAACCAGTCTGTGTGGCCACGATACCTGATAAAAAGAAAATGCATTTGAAGTTAACTGTCCAAATTACATAGTAAGTAAAAATGCAACAGATTATAAAAAAAATAAGAAAACCATTTCAACTTCTTTCTCCAAATCAAGACTTGATTCAATATATTTTTTTAAATTTTGCCCTAAAAATAAAACTATTCCATATAGTAAAAAAGGAAAAAAAAAGTCAATTTATAGTTACTTAAAGGTGCAAAATGTAACTTTTCTAGTAGAGGTCCACTCTCATGGAAATGTTTTTCATTTACCTGGAATGTTCGAATATATGGTGTAAAACTGTTTTTATTGCTCAAAAATAGTGTCCAAATTTCTCTAAGCAGTCTTACAGTGAGTGGGGTCACATCTCCACAGATCTGCCTTATAATTTGGCCTGGTGTCACCTGTTTCTTTCCATGGAGATAGACAGGTTTAATCCAGGTAAAGCATCAAAAGTTACATGATAGTGCACCTTTAACTTCAAAACAATAGTACAATTTTGAATTAGCCAAGAAAAAATTCATACTTACCTAAAACCTCCTTTCAGATTGAGGATAAAATATGCCGCCGCAACATGTGGTCCGTAAAACCTTTCAGTGTAACCATAGTAACTGCAAAAGACAACAGGAAAATGTCAGAGAAGGGCAAACCTGGCTTAAAATAGAACAGACAGTATTACTGCAAATGATGAAATACAATGAAATGAAAAGAGAATACTTTATCACAAAGGCAGCACAAATAATACATTGAGCTTGTTATATCAGTACCAGCAGACACAACATGAAACTGTCTGGCAATAAACCAAAAGTATTGCAATAATAATATTCTGTACCCAAACAGTAAGTAGTTCAAACATGTTTCGTTTAGATATCTTTGCCTTGTAAATATAAATACTAATCCATCTGTTCTAGTGATGTGTGTGCCACCTGCTTATCTATAAAAGATTAAGTTAGGTTACTGTTTCACCAAGAATATTTGACAGTCCCAAAAGTAAAATCTAATTTGATAGTGGTTTTAGTTTATTATGAAATACTTTGAAAATGGTGACCGAAGTTGCATCTCCACAGAACTGACCTGTAAGGCACGGTGGGATGCAGTTGCTTGTCTCGATGGAGATAGATACAAAAGTTTAATACTGTACGGTGGAACATTATGGGCAAAGCAATAACTGTGTGGACAGAAAGTTCACCAAAAAAGTTTCATATTTCACCTTTTAATGTATCAAAATCTATGAAATATAGTATTGACCACATCTGTAGCCCTCATTTTTTTTTACTTGTTGTTAAGTTTTATTAGTTTAGATATTAATACAGGGACTATTGTTGCTCAAAGTTGGAATTACATGAAGTTCATATCAAAATATTGTCTGGAGTCCTTTAGGCAATCAGTTAATTGGTCGATGGTCTCTTGGTTGACTAAAATTTGTATTAGATTGTAAAGATTTATATGTTAGTGAGTATTTTTTGTATTTTTATGTAAAAATGGCAGGTTAAACAAGATGAATGTGTCTTTATAGAAATTTTTCTTAGTATGTTTTCTGCATGAATAGTAGTTTTTGCATGAACTCTTGCACAGGTGTAGTCTTGTGAGTGCAGTTTGGGTCAGATACATAATAGTTTTGAGAGCTTTTGTCTGCCCTCCTTTTTTAGATGACTAATGGATAGGCAGGACATGTCTTTATTCGACTGCAGCCCTGTTGCAGCCCTGCTATGCCACGTCACAATATTCATTATATTTGTCATAATTTACAGCATTATTCCTTACGCGTTTCTCTTGTGCACCCCTCTCTTTCTGAACTTGGATGTCCACATGAGCAGAGCCTCCACATCGTAGAAGCGCTTGGTGAGGTACAGAAGGAAGCGTGAGGGAAGCGAAGGTTTAGTCACGGCTTCCGAACTCAACAGGCGACTGGAGACAAGAAGAGGACGTGTGCAGCATCTGGACAAAGACTACAGAGACAGAGACAGATAAGGATCAAAAATCAGATACTAGTTGATACTAAAACGAATATCAAAACTAGATACTCATTTGAGCATGTATGGATACTAAAATAGTCGCATTCACACGACAGAAATAAACTTTTCCTGAATAGCTTTAGAATGATCTTGAACTGTATCAGAACAAATATATAGAGCACATGGCACCTACCTGGAGAATACACAGATATAAGGCCACATGGTAATATAAAAGAAAGTACTACCATTTAATGTGGAAAATCATTTGTCTAAATAAAGAGTGATTTTTTTATCATTACGGTATCAGAACTGGTGTTGAGTATCGAGGGTATTCCTTAGTATTGAAGTCGAGTTTGCAATGTTAGTATCGTGACAATACTAGGAGGAGCAATGTTATGTAGTATGGCATTAATGGTATCTATCTTGCATTTGTTTACTAATTTATTTTTTATTTTTGTATTCGTAGTCTCTGTGATATAATAATCTTAGTCAACCAGACAGACATCAACCCAATAAATTAACCAATAAACACAAATAAAATAAAAAAACAATAATAAAATTCAACCAAAATTACTACCAAAGCTTAAACCACACTAACAAAAATTTATTAAACTGACATAAAAATTATTAAAAAAACAAAAACAGAACAAACAGGTAATTCAGACCAACTCAGGCAAAACACACAGACACAGACAGGACATAGACAAGGCGGACAGGACACAGACAGAACAGAGAGGACGTAAACAGGGCAGAGAGGACACAGACAAAAAAAGACAGGACATCAACAGGGTGGACAAGACAAAAGACATGACAGGCAGAACAGACAGGACACAGAGAGGACGACCAAAACAGACAGGACATAGACAGAACAGACAGGACAAAAGACAGAACAGACAGGACAAAAGACAGAACAGACAGGACAAAAGACAGAACAGACAGGACAAAAGACAGAACAGACAGAACAAAAGACAGAACAGACAGGACATAGACAGAACAGGCAAGATATCACAAGGCAGACAGGACAAAAGACAGGACAGACAGGGCACAAACAGAACAGACAGAACAGACAGGACACAAACAGAACAGACAGAATAGACAGGATATCAGAGGGCAAACAGGACACAGAGAGGACGGTCAGAACAGACAGGACATAGACAGAACAGACAGGACATCACAGGGCAAACATGACAACAAACAGGACAGACAGGACAGAGACAGGCTGGACAGGACAACAGACAGAACAGACAGGACATCACAGAGCAGACAGGACAACAGACAGGGCAGACAGACACAAACAGAACAGACAGAATAGACAGGATATCAGAGGGCAAACAGGACACAGAGAGGACGGTCAGAACAGACAGGACATAGACAGAACAGACAGGACATCACAGGGCAAACATGACAACAAACAGGACAGACAGGACAGAGACAGGCTGGACAGGACAACAGACAGAACAGACAGGACATCACAGAGCAGACAGGACAACAGACAGGGCAGACAGGACACAAACAGAACAGACAGGACATCACAGGGCAAACAGGGCAACAGACAGGACAACAGACAGATCAGACAGGATACAGACAGAACAGACAGGACATGACAGACAAGACACACAAATATAGACAGGACAAAACAGAAACAAGCCAGACTGGACAGGAGTAGACAATCTTGCATTCATTAACTACTGAGTGTTTTCATTGCTAAAGACCCCTTGCCTCTATACAAATATGACCTCTAAGTTGGCCTGATGTTGTCACCTATTGTTTTCGTAGAGAAAAATAAGATAATGCAATGCTGTGGAACTTTCCAGGCAAAACAATCACATGTCCATGCATGCAAACTATGGAAGTAAACAAGAGTCAGCAGCTCCCAGCGTCAAGCAGCGACTCCAGCGCTCGGACGGCGCCACAGTCACTGCGCATTTTATCTATACACATTAATAATAATAACGTCTCAATCGTAATGAATCCATGTTATTTCAGTGTTTAAATCTAAGATTAACTCACCAGCAGGGGAGCTGCCATAGCTACTCTGTGTGACGGAGCGTCGGGAGGGACAAACATGGCGTTTCGCGTTTTGGTTTCGGATGTTATTCATCCTGGCCACCACAAGGGGGCACTCCATATCCATCGGTTTATCAATGAACTGAGACCTCAGAGCCTTAAAATAGCCACAATGGGGTATTTTTAGAAACAAGAGAAAGGCTAAATACAGTATCACTCATAGCCTATTCAAACCAGTGATATATGGTTCACTGGAAAATCTGCACTACATTATTATTCTGTCTCTACCTCCTTGGGATCTTATATAGATTAATACAAGTCTGAAAGAAATCTCAAAGTCCAAAAGAGAAAAAAACACAAGATAATCACTTAATAAAACATTTGTCAATCTCAATTATTGTAGCTTTACTCTGGAGTTGCAGCAAGACAGCCAGTCTGGTTTCGATTTTATTTGAATGACAGAAACGTGTTAACAGAACATTTGTGCAGTGTTGCATCAGGGCGTCTGAAGAAGTAAAAATACATCTTATATCTGTACCTCACATCTCTCCCCCTTTTGGTTTCCCTGCACAAGCATTTGGTCCCATATCCCTTGTCCCACTTACTTAGAAAATATCTGACTTTTTCATCGGTTCATTAATTATATAAAGTGATATTCACAATGGAGTTTGAGGTTGTAATACATTAGTATTTTAGTATATTGCAGAGATGGGACCAAGTCATTGTTTTGCGAGTCTCAAGTAAGTCTCAAGTCTTTGACCTCAAGTCCGAGTCAAGTCGCAAGTCAAATAACGGCAAGTCCAGGTTGAGTCTTGAGTCAATGGCCCATAAGTCCAAATCAAGTCCCAGTAGTCTGATTTGAGCTTCAAGTCATTTCAAGTCTATAAACCAAAGTACCAAATATAGCTTAGAGTTTTGCAGTTTATATACATTTTAAACTAAATTGTACTTAAAAAATCATGGAATATTTATGTATGAGTATTTATATAAGAGTGGTAGAAATTAGTAATTTCTGCAACTCTTAGTGTGAATCATGATGGTCAGAACAGAAAGAATTAAGATTTAAAAGTGCTAAATAACTGTTATTTTGTTGCGTAGGCTTCACTGAATTGGAAGGATCATGTTTGTAGTTCCCTCCTTATTGTATTGTACTGTATATTACTGTATATTACTGGAGTACATTTGAGTATCACAGTACTTCATTTCCATCCAAATGACCAAACAGAAGTGGGGGCACATGTTCCAGATTGTTCCTGTAAAATTCAGCACCACATTTATCAACTGCAAAGAGAAACGTATTTTCTAAAAACATATATTTTTTTAGGAGAAACATCAAGTTTTCTCAAGTCACAGGTCTCAAATCTGAGTTAAGTCCCAAGTCACTGACCTTCAAGTCCAAGTTAAGTCTCAAGTCTTAGTCCATTTTATCAAGTCAAGTCTCAAGTCCTAAAAATAGTGACTCAAGTCTGACTCGAGTCCAAGTCACGATTTGCAAGTGCCCACGTCTAGTATATTGCATGTGACAATTGTTGATTTTTACATCTGATAAAAACTGAAAATCATATGTTATTGCAGTCAATCATCTGAGCTTAAAGGTGCACTGTACAACTTTTAAGGTTTGAGGAGAGTCCACTAATTGTTCGACACCAGGAAAATGTTATTTCTTTACCTAGAATGTTCCACAGTCGGGCAGTAAACATACTGTATCTCCCTTGTATTTGTTCATTTACAAGTGTTTAATCGCTCAGAAATCCCTTAAAAACATGAATTCTTACCATGTGCAGGCTTGTTTCTCCATAGATCTGACCATTAACCTGTCTACTAACCCGTCTCTTATGATGATCAAATTTATTTCCATTCTATGCAACATTCATAACATAATATCTCCAAGCAGGTGGCAGACCTTTCAACAGAAAAGTTCCACAGTGCATCTTTACATTTCAGTCAGTCCCTCCATGTCTACAACGTGTCACTCCTTTTCTTTTTCCACAATTTGAGGTGTTCATTTTACTTCATGTCTAGGCTTATATAACTGCCAATAGCTTCCACATCAATTTACTGTTGAAAGCCTATGGGAGTGGGCTCATCTGGCACATGTGTCACTGCAAAACAAACACAGCAGCATTACATTGATAATTGTTCTATGACAAGCTTACACGAATCCCCAAGAGGCACAGGGGCTGGTGACAGACGGCTACACCTGCTAACACGGTTATGAGAAATGCTCTTCTATTGTTTTGATAAGAAAAAGCTGTTAACTCCATTGTTTCATGGGAATAATGGAGGCTTCCTACTAATCAAATTCTTTCTGTTGCCTGTGTCTGTGCATTGATTGAACACGTGTCATGTCTGTGTAATGTTGTAATGTTATTTCCTCATCACAAACAGACCTGGAGATGTGTTTTGTTTCATTCACACACAAACAACCGTGCATATTTAGACACTCAGTTCCACCTTGTGATGTCATGTGGTAATACACTGTGTTTTTAAACTGTGTACACTTTCACTAGTATCATTACCATCATAATCATCATTTTGAGCTTTGACGGTGTAGACCAGGGGTGGGCAATTATTTTTTTCCATGGGGCCACATGAGAAAGAGAAAATATTGTGGAGGACCGGGCCAAAATGCTTAAATCAATTCTGCATAATATTAATTGTATTTCTTTATAAAACTCAGTCAATAGCAGTGTTTTGATGAGCTGGTCAGACTGGTAAGAGTTTATGTTATGACTAAGCAATGAAAAACTGAGGTTGCCTTACAAAAAATTTCATTAAAAAACACCTTTAAAATAAAAGCAATACAGCTTTAGTCCATGCATGAGGTAAAATGATAAAATATGTTTATTTTGTAATTCCACAAGAATCAATTTTGTGTAATATAGAACCTTAAAGAATGCATTACTTAGTACCTGTACCTTAATAAATATTTTGTAAGGATGTAACGATATCCAACTCTCTCGATACAATATTTTCATGATACGCATCTCATGGTACGATATTTATTGAGAAAAAAATATGAATACACTACTATTTTTCTTTTAAAATGCCTTGACAAGACTTACCCCGAAGAACTAACACTTAAAAGTGCTTAGAACTGTTATTTCTTCATGTTGTCTGCACTGAAACGAAGCAAAGGATCATGGTCTATGTAGTTCCCTCTGTCTTTTTTTTTAGCTATTGCTGCACCATAACTCTTCATTTAAGCACTTGTAACTTGTAATTCAATATACTGTGATGGTTGATATTATTGTGAGAACTTTGACGATACAATACCACGATATTTCAGTTATTGTTACATCCATACTTTTGATATTATGTTTTTTGTATTGTGTATTCATAATCTATAATTTTCTCCTCCTTACTTCTATCTGGTAATTTCATCAAGTATTGAATGAATAAATAATAGTCCTCAAAATGTTGCATATAACAGGAAGCTGAAATGCATTGGCCTATAATGCTTTTTCAAGTAATTTTTATCTTTTTATTTTCTATATACTCTTCACAGTCAGTTAGTATTGTCCTACCAAACGTGCTCATATTAGTTCATTTTTCACAACAGCTGGTATCAGGAGGAGAGATTGATAGAAAGACGTGAGCAGACTGTGCACAGAAAAAACACATTAGAGGAGTGGGGCTGTCCCGGTGGACATATGGTCCAGTGAAGTGAGAGCGAAGCCCAGCAATGAATGAGGGATTGGATGGATGACAGGCAGAGGTGCACCATTATAGATCTGGTTTAGTTGTCCTGCTTTAGACCTGGTTCAGTCCTGTGTTAGACCTGGTTCAGTCCTGCATTAGACCTGGTTTGGGCCTGGTTTAGTCCTGGTGAAGTGAGAGCAATATGCAGGAATGACTGGAGTGATTGGGCAATAAACAGAGGTGCACCACTTCAGACAAGGTTTAGTCCAGCTTCACAACTGGTTTAGTCCTGCTTTAGACCTGGTTTAATCCTGCTTCACACCTGGTTTAGTCTTGCTTTAGACCTGGTTTAGTCCTGCTTCAGACCTGGTTTAGTTTACCTGTTTACCTGCTTTAGACCTGGTTTAGTCCTGCTTCACACCTGGTTTAGTCTTGCTTTAGACCTGGTTTAGTCCTGCTTCACACCTGGTTTAGTCCTGCTTTAGGTCTGGCTTAGTCCTTCTTCAGACCTGGTTTCTGGTTCTTCAGACCTGGTCCTTGGTTTAGACTTGGTTTAGTGCTTAGTGAGAGTGTAGGATGAATGGGGTGATTGGGCGATAGACAGAGGTGCACCAGTGCAGATGAAAATCAGTGAAGCAGAATATCAATGGATCAGATCAGGCATGAATGAAAATGCACAAAGGGGAGACCTTTAAACCTGATTTAGTCCTGCTCCAGTTTAGTCCTGCTTTAGACGTGGTTTAGTACTGCTTCAGATTTGGTTTAGTCCTTGGTACAGACCCTGGTTTAGCCCTTGGTTTAGGCCTGGTTTAGTTCTTGGTTTAGACCTGGTGTAGTTCTGGTTTAGTTTTGGATTAGTCCTGGGGAAGTGAGAGTGAAGGATGAATGGAATGATTGGGTGATAGACAGAGGTGCATCAGTGCAAATGAAAATCAATGAGGCAGAATATGAATGGATCAGATCAAGCATGAATGAAAACACACAAGATGGGAGACCTTTAAACCTGATTTACTTTTGGTTCAGTTTAGTTCTGCTTTAGACATGGTTTAGTACTGCTTCAAACCTAGTTTAGTCCTTGGTATAGACCTTGTTTATCTCTTGGTTATGACCTGGTTTAGTCCTTGGTTTAGACCTGGTGTTGTTCTGCTTTAATCCTTGGTTTAGTTCTGGTTTAGTCCTGGTAAAGTGAGAGTGAAGGATGAATGGAGTGACTGGGCGATAGACAGAGGTGCACCAGTGCAGATGAAAATCAATGAAGAAGAATATCAATGAATCAGATCAAGCATGAATGAAAACGCACAAAATGGGAGACCTTTGAACCTGATTTAGTTTTGGTTCAGTTTAGTCCTGTTTTAGATGTGGTTTAGTACTGCTTCAGATGTGGTTTAGTCCT